CTGCCGCGACTGCATCAATGCTCTATCCCCACCTTCCTACTCTTGTCCTCCTTCTTCGTCAACCGTCATCCGTACAGAAAACAAGTCCGTAGAACCCCGGGCCTTCTCTTCGATGTTATGGATAAGTGACCATAGTTTAATATGTAGGAATTAAGTAGGAATAATGGCTGGCTAAGTCAGGAAACAAGCGGGGAGCCTTTCTGGCTCACCCGACCATTGAAATGTAGGAAATAAGCTCTTAGCTGGGTTCGCTGCCCTTAAGGCAGCGAACCTTCTCAAACCTGTTAATTCAACCACATGTCTCCAGAATGTAGCTTAGCAATTATCAGTCAAATTCATACATATTAGCCATTCAGTATTCAATTTACAAATTATTTCCCTCACTCATCAATATTAGTAAGAAATTATCCAAGTTCAGTTCATAGTCGGAAGGATAGGTTAATTTTTAAATAGTTAGTTCAATTAGTGCAAATCAAAGCTGGCTAGGCAAGTGTTCTGATCTGGGTAAAAGGTCTCCGTCCCTCTGGTCCCCAGCAATCTTCCTAATTTTATTGGTAGCAGATTCAGCACGCTTACGTTAAGTTTGGTCCAGACACACCAACTCCTAACCTATTGCATTACCCTGTTTATTCCCTCCTGATTACCCGAATTCCCTCCTCAATACCATACCATTACCCCCCATCAGCACCCCCACCAACGGCCCCCGGCTACATAGAGCTAGTTAGAGCTTCTACACGATTTGAATCTGCCTGAACCCTTTTAAGACACAAAGAGTGTAAAAAAGTTGAAGATGCAAGTAGGTGTAGATTTAAGTTTAAATAACCAAACATATTCATACTACGTTTTGAAATAAATGTAGCGTATATTAAAAAACGTTTCATGGAGCAGGCTAAACTTATAATTTCATTTTTGCAGTCTGAGTCGCTCAGGCAAGCGCTGTTCAACTGCGACTGGACCGACAAGCCTCACAGTTTGAGGCGAGGACTTCTCATCATGCAGATCATGGCGTCCAGACCTCTCAAACTGACCATTGGTGGCATCTACAACCTCGGTATGGAGACATACGGCAATGTGAGTTAATTTGTAGTCTTCTTGAAAATAAAACAGTTGTTTTGAAAATAGTCGCCCGAGACTATACTAGGATTGACAATATAAGTGTAAGGTATATAAACCTATTTTATATTGTGATCAATTAATCCTGGAGGCAATGCTGGATAAACAAATATCTGGTAACTAAATAGTTGCCAATTGTTTACAGTTATGTTCATGTTATTAATTTAATAAATTATTTGTGATAGCCTATAGTACGAATGTTTGATAATTTACTTTTTTCATATTGTTTAGGTGCAGTGGTAGAGCATTATGACAATGGTAGATGTGTTATATACTATAGAACTAGAATACCGTAAATTTAAAGAACCAAATTTTCTCAAACCGTGTCCTCCCCCATTGAAAACGCAGAGCACGAGTAACTGAAATAAGAATTTTATAGACCTATTGTATGAAGGACAGGTAGGTACCTACTCTGCTAATAATCTTAAAGATTTAAAAATACCCCCGCCGCAGCAAACCTGCCGACTAAGCGAATTTCCATTTCTCTGAATGATTTTCAATTAAATCTATTTAAATAACATTGGGTTTAACGAGTACCTAGGTTTGCTGCCACAAAGAAACTAAAACTAATTTTTATAAAATAGTTACTTGTTTTGACTTTTTATAGTAACAAAACATTCCTCACTTTGCTTACACTTAACAAAACTTCTCAAATGTTATTAAAGTAATATTATTAAAATAATTAAAGTAATATTTACATTTAAAGAATTAATTAAATAAGAACGCCTTCGCAAAGAAAACGCAACTACAACACGCTTCTGTATTGCGGGTATTGCATTGACTTTCTGCAGGCGTTTTAATCCGTAGGCAGCGCCACCAGCGTTGCCATGCAATAGCATAGCAACGCTGGTGGCGCTGCCTACCGATTGACAGGCAAAGCTCTCTCAAAACACTTAATGCTTTTTACCATGCGGTTGGCATTCTGGGTTATAGTAGTACGTTTTCTGTGGTAATAGCTACTTCCCTATAGGGAAATTCGCTAAAATTCAAGCACAGATTTCACATCAAGCATCGGCATATATTTATCTACAGTCCCACTCGACTTAAACGTAAACAAAAAATGCTCCCCATGCATTTCTTATGGGAGTTAAATTTGGTTTTTCTTTTCCGAGTTCCTTTATGGCTCTTCTACCCGACCTATTTTTATGATTGAGGTCTCAAATTGAAGGTATGCACGCACAGATTTGCCATCAAGCATCGGCATAAAATTATCTATAGTCTGACTCGGTTTATACGTAAACAAAATTTGCTCTCCATGTATTTCTTATGGGAGTTAAATTTGGTTTCTCTTTTCCGAGTTCGTTTGGCTCTTCTATTTCACCAGTATTTCACTGTATTTCACCAGTTATAATTATATAGGCTAATCCTATATATTTTGGTCTAAGACACTTCAGTGAAATCCCGGCTTACATTTGAGCTATTAGTGATTCAAATCGGACGAGTTTCAAGCAAATGCAAGGTGAACAACCAACATATAAATTATTATTCATAAGGTATTTCTATGATTAAAAATCAATAGCTCCAGTATTATTTACTTTTCATTATACGTTTTAGATTCAAAATAATCAGGAAATTATAGGCTTTAATTAGAATTATTGATCGTTTGCTCAATAGCTTGATAGCTCAAGATACTGTATTCAGTGGCAGATCTAGAACAGTCACAAGGGGGGGGGCGAACCAGGGGGTCTGGGGGGTTCGGGGGTACCCTCCCAAAAAAATTGGTGTAAACTATAAGTCTCCAAAATGGCTGTTTTATACAATTTCTTTGTCCAATGTTAGCATGACAAATTATTATTTGCCATGTGTATGCACTACTGTATTACATGAAGTAAAAAATATATGCATATGTATGCCCGAGGGGGGGGGACGGTCGCCCCCTTTGCCCCCACCCCTCTGGATCCGCCACTGACTGTATTACTCAATCAAATATTTGATTATTTCTTGGATATGATATTTATTTCAACGCTGAGGAGCAGCATGGGTCCTCTATATTTTAATATACTAAACATATGTATTTTTTCAGGTTATTTCAGCCCTATATTCATACATCAGTTTGATGCAATCTCTTCACTAATTATATCAACATCTACTTCATTTTGAGAACGAAGATGATTGCTGCTTGGTTTAATAAATAAATATATAAAATATTTTATCTCATATTGCACTTTAGATTGTTGAAAATAAACAAATGTTTGCTTGCTGTACTAAGGAAATCTTGAAGTTTTCCTCTATATTGTGGTTGACCCTACTCTGTGTCTGAAATACCCCTTCCGCAACAAACCTGCAGACCAAGTGAATTTCAATTTGTCTGATTGGGTTGTTAATAAAACATTTCCGATTTCCATAATCAAGACATCTTTGCTCCTCATTGAAATAACATTAGATTAAACTATTACAAGATCTGCTGCCAAAAACGTTTTTCCACCAAATTTTAATACTGTAGTATAGAATGAAATAAAAATTTGCCAAATTTGATCAACATGCATCTATAAACAAGCGAACTATAGCAGCAGTGTCAGTTCCAGGGGGGGGGTACAGGAGCTAAAGCCCCCCCCCCCCCCATTGGACCCTACAAGAATTAATTTAAACATACATTTCGTCCTTATAACACGCAATATTATAAAACAGACAGCAATGTAGTTTTTACCAAATTAAATAAGCAATAGTAGGATTAGTATAAAGCCCCACACAGATAAGCTTTGTGGGACAATAGCACGACAAATAAAACAATATTAGGCCTACGCTATGCAAAGTTGTAGTTTATATAGTCAATGGTTGTACGCATCATCCGATTTTTCCAGCAGTCAGCGTGACAGCGAGGACGGGTAAACAGCTGATTTTATGTTCCAAGTTGTCTGCTAGCTACTATAACTAACACAGTCATCAGCGGTAGCGCCAGTAGCCTATAATTTGACACTATATCGTGGGTTGTCTACTGTGACTAGTTTATAGCTGCTATTGACTAGTTTAAAAACATTTCATGTAGTAAGGAAACTGTGACAGATCTATGCAATGGAGAGAAATATAAGGTACTTGCTTGAATGACATATAACAGGTGAAATGGGACATAAAACCCCTCGATAAACCCAGTTCCCATGGTCCGATCATGCTGGTTTGCAAACTCATTCAAGTTTCACCTTCAAACCACATTTTATCAAAATCGGGCAGTTATTGTCTGATGTATAGATAGATATATATAGTATATGTATACCTATATATAAATTTGAACAAATGGTGTTTTTGGCCTCTGGGGACATCAAAATTAAAAAGAAATTGTGAAAATCTGATTATTATGGGTGAAATTAATAATAAAATTTCAAAACTCATTAAAGAACCATGGATTAGTACCTTTTTTGTTCTTTTCTGCGCCATTGGTATTTTTTATTTTTTAGAGGTGATGAGCAATATTCAAAAGCATTAAGGGAAAGCGGTCCAAACCCAAATGCTTTGTGGGCGTGCCAAGAATGAAGCCCGTCCCTCCCACACCTAACCAGAGTGCAAGCGGATTCAGATCAAGATTTTCGGCGCTTGGATAATCTGAGTCAGATATTTTGTTGGTGGCCACAGTGGAAGCAGGAAACACGCCGCCAGTACTGACTCGGTTAGCAAGGAAACAAGTCAGTCGTTGTTATGGAATCGTCGAATGAGGAATCAACGTGTAAAATTATAGCGTCTGAAACTGTTGTGAAGTTACAGCCAGTGAAGTTACAGCAAATCCCCCCCCCCCCCCCCTCTGAATTGGTATTCTTGTACCAAATTTAATCTAAATCGAACCACAACTGTAGTCTGTTGCTACAAATACACACAACATAACACACAAACATAACTTTGAAAACCACTTTTTTAGTTCAAGGTCTTTTTTTAACCAAACAGTCTCAGAGTATTACCTCCAACACTTGCTCCCCACAGCTGTCACGTCCAGCGGAGTGTAACGGTTTTGCAGGATGTGAAGATGCCTCAGTCGAATCTCTCCTAGCAAGTAGATCACTTCTGCTCCCAAGTTCTGCGGACTAATCTCTAGCACCTGTAAGAAATAAATAATGTCTATAACAGGATGATATACCCCATAACATTTTGTCACTTTTAAAAGTGTCACATCTTTCACTCTCAAAAAGGCTATGCTTTAATTTTATCATATGGTAGGAAAACTGCTACACTTTACGATAATTACTTGTTTTTAGAAAACTAGTAAATCTAAGTGTTTGTCAGATCAGTGGTTGAGCAGTTGAAAAGACGTTCCGCTAAAGCATGGTATTGCATTTGGAATGTCGGATTGTATCTTGAGAATAAAATTATACAGTCTAACCTTGATATAACGAACCTCGATACAACGAATTCCTTGATATAACAAATTTTTTTAAATCCCCTAGAACTCTCCATAAGACACAATGTATATTTTACCTCTACATAACGAACAAACAATAACAACGACCTTGATTTAACGAATTTTTCATGATTTCTGCTAAAATAAGACACCTCAATATAGCGAATTTATCATTGTCAGAACCTCTACATTGCGAATTTAACCTCTGCATAACGAATTGTCTACGTCTTTCCCTCAATATAACAAATCCCCCACCCCATTATTGTTTTTGAAAAATCTGTTTCTTTATCAAATGAAATCGAAAGGCGACGTCATCGCTTGCGCTAACATTCGTCTGCTCCGTTTTACACAGCTTTGTCTGCTGTCGCTGCGTGCGCTATGTTGCAACTGAGAACTGATTTCATTCACGAGGACTGAGATGACGACGTAATGTTTAGTAAGCTTTGATTGGGCGATAAGTAACTATGGTGAATCGTACAATTTTTGGATAAAGAGAAACCTAAGAAAGGATATAAAAACAAAACCAAAGAGAAAGAATAGCAACATTGTTATTTTAACATTCCTTTTTCGAGTGTTTTTATTATCTTTAAGTTGGCTATGATTATACACTTTTATAATTACTTATCTAATAATTGGGAGCGTTTCATAAACTCCAAATTTCACAAACTCCACGCTTAAAATATTAAATAAACAGAGCGGTTCATAACCTCCAAATTTCATAAGCTCCAAATCTATAATATTCAAATAATCACTGTTTCACAATGTCCAAGTTTCACAAACTCCAACGTTTAAATATTAAATAAACAGAGCGGTTCATAATGTCCAAATTTCATAACCTCCAACGGTACAGTCTGGGCCAGAAGCTTCTCTAGTGGTTGCCACAGTCAGATAGCAGGCACCGTTCGCCAGGGCGCTCAACTACTGATTATACGTACATTTTAATGATTGAAGAACACTCAGATGTGTGACTCAAATATGTGTTAGCACACAATGTGCAAATCAAATTTACATTTTAGCGAATTTCCCCTATAGGGAATAAGCTATTACCGTAGTACTCATGGTAAGACCTCGTCCCGGGACCGATTTACTTTTTCATTTTGAGGTCCCTAGAGACCAAAAACACCATCAGTTATACATATATTTATATGTGTGTCCGTTAGCGCGATAATTCGAGCAAAAATCATCCGATTTTGATGAAATTTGGTACAAACTTGTAAACCTACGTTTATTCGAACGAGTTCGCGAACCAGCATGATCGGACTATGGGAACTCTTAAGAATATATACTTATACTCTTAAGAAAGCAATTACGGAGCAACAATGATACTTCATGTTGCGCCGCTACAACAGTAGAACGTGTAGCGCCTACATACCTAACCACGGCAACCTCTGCAGCGACTTCTGGCAGAGACTGTACCGTTGGAGCTTATGAAACTTGGGGGTTATGAACCGCTCTGTTTATTTGATATTTAAACGTTGGAGTTTGTGAAATTTGGACATTGTGAATCGGTAATTATTTGAAAGTTATAGTTTTGGAGTTTATGAAATTTGGAGGTTATGAAACGCACTGTTTATTTAATATTTTAGACGTTGGAGTTTGTGAAATTTGGACATTATGAACCTCACCCTAATAATTTATTGTTTTCAATACGATTTGTTTCAACTAGCAACACCAATGCTATATATAGTTAATGATTATTATTGACATTCCTCTGTTGTGATAAATCAGTACCTTACTGTAAGTAGCCTACCGACCTATCACGAGCAGTAGCTTACAAAACTTTCTACTACTGTTTTGTTTTGTTCTTTACATGGTTTGTGACTACGCAATAGTGTTTGGCTAGGTTTTAGGAGGGTTAGAACAAGCTGTGATTTTAAACTTACAGTTTTTTAACCTGTACCAAGGTCAATGCCATTGTCATGATTGCGCAATATTCAAGATCCCTCCCCTTTATTATGCAGGATAATTTAGGTTCTACTGTACAATGTAAACACTGTACTGTAAAGTATTGTAGCCTATGCTACTTTAATTGTGTTTTAATGATGTCTAATCCCGACCTATATTAACCGACGCTGGTTCTGAACCTCAACTTAGCGAAATTCCTGCAAACATAACCTCTATATAACGAACCTCGTTTTAACGAAATCCTTGATATAACGAATATTCAGTTCGGTCCCTTCAGATTCGTTATACTGAGGTTGGACTGTAATTGTATTTCACCATCCAAAAATATGTTGGTCTAAAATAGGGTAAATCATACAGTGAAAAACACAGAAATGTATTACCTTTAAGCATTTGGCGAACACCCTACCATCGAACCAACTCTGCTGCTCCTTCAAACTCAACATTTTACGTTTCTCATTTTTCAAGTGCTACCGTTTTTTATGAATTTGACAACCAACAATTAAATTGTGTTTGCACTAGGAATAGTGCCAATGCGCAGAATAAAAAACCACTGGTAAAAATCCCCTTGCATAGCAGCTACTAAATTGTTGTTTTAAACATTCTATGAGAACTAAAATCGTATGACTGATCGATGACAAAAAGGCCAGACGTGTATGCCTATTACCTACACAGCCGAAGTATACATAATTGAAACTGCTCAGTCAGTTATCCCTTCTCTGTGTTAAGCATAGATGTAGAGTTGAAGATATTGGATATCCTACTAACTCACTTGTGATATTTTTCAAAAGGACTGTAATCCATCCTCTTGACTTTGACATGATACCCTCGCTGACGTACTGTGTGCGTGTAAAGCGCCGCTACTACTGGGGACAGATTTTTGAGTCAGTCATGAATCAGACATGTGCTGCACAAGACCTGTTGGTTGGTGTGAGACATACCATGTAATTGAACAGGCTATGTGCACTGATACTAATCCCTAAGCGAAGAGGTTATTATTATTAAACATTCTACAAAACACGAGTGAGTAACGGAGGTGGTTTCTTTAATTCATTTTGAGATATTTTCAAAATGTTAGTGGTTATTGGCGTACGGGATCGTTGGGTCGTTCATACTGTATTGATATCTCCCTTTTGTATTCCAGCACGGGCCAACCCTACTTAAAACTATGTGACATCAAATTTGACCTCAGAGCCACTAACATCAATTTGTTTTCTTCTGAAGACATTATAATTTTATACTAAACTTGCCACAGTACATCAGGAAAAATATATAAATCATGCAAAAGACATTAAATTTATCTTCAACTCCATATTCAACTCAGTATTATGAGACATCAGTGTGTAACCTGCCTAAGCCTCACAAAAGAGGAGTGTTTGACTGACCTGTAGGTTCAAGAACACCCCCACATGCAGCAGTTGACAAGCAGTCTTGGTAGGGTTGATCAGTTTCAGTCTTTTGAGAGTCTCAGTCTGGTTGCAACACACTTGGTCCAGCAGATACAACGCCTCGTGATGGTCCAACATCAGGTCGATTAGTTCTAGGTTACGCAGCGACAACAGATTTCCCATCAGCCGCTTCAAAGCCTCTAGTAGTTTGCCTAAAAAAAAACCAATCCTATATATAATACGAGTAAAGTTTGAATACTTGTCAACTCGATCTGGGAATCGGCTCTAACAAAAACGTTTATATTTACGGAATAACTAAGTTCTGTGTCAAAAATAAGTTCTAGACCAGTGGTATAGCCAGGAAAAATCTATTTTCGCCATAATATGAGTACAAACTTTTGAAAATTTAACATTGGCCTTATGAGAAAACATTCTGCCATTATTGTCATTTTGTTTACATTTTAAGACATAACGTGACGTTCTGTACCCACGGGCACCTCAGCTTGCGCATGCACATATGGCCTATTTACAAAAGACAGTACAAAAGAAAAGGAGTCCGATGAATATCATTAAGCGTTGATTAACAATACAGTAGAGTCCCGCAAACTCGGCACTCGATAACCCGGCAGTCTGGATAACTCGGCCATCACCTGGCTCAGAAAATTAGTGATTTTTTGAGTCCGAGTTAAACATGGGCTCAAGTCAAGGCATTTGCAACTCGTACCAAGGATTTGTTGTACTATATCTGATGACTTAATACCTACTTGTAAAATAAATATAAATAAATAAGGCAGCTAAAAGGAATAAAAGTTGTATTGTTCTTATTTTTAACCCTAGTTCCCGATAACCCGGCATTTCACAAACTCGGCACCTTTCCAGTCCACATTACGCCGAGTTTGCGGGACTCTGATGTACTCCGATTCGCATAATTTCTGGTGGCCTTACTGAATTATTCCAAGCAGATTATTTCGTTTAATTATTGTTATTAGTTTTGTGGTAAATATTAGTCCGGAGTGTGGTAACTGTTTATGACGATTAGATTAAGGTATCTACAATCCTAAAATGCTATGGGAAGGGAGGAAAACAGGTCCGCGGCTTAGGAAGTGGTGAAGGAAGTAGTAAAGGCGAGTAGTCCGGAGTGTGGGAACTATTAATGACGATTAGATTAAGGTATCTGTTATCCTAAAATGCTATGGGAAGGGAGGGAAACATGGTCCGTGACGAAGGAAGCGGTGAAGGAAGTAGTAAAAGTGAGTAGTCCGGAGTGTGGGAACTGTTAATGACGATTAGATTAAGGTATCTGTTATCTTAAAATGCTATGGGCTGGGAGGGAAACATGGTCCGTGACGAAGGAAGCGGTAAAGGAAGTAGTAAAGGTGAGTAGTCTGGAGTGTGGGAACTGTTTATGACGATTAGATTAAGGTATCTGTTATCCTAAAATGCTATGGGAAGGGAGGGGAACAGGTCCGTGTCATAGGAAGTCGTGATGGAAGCAGTAAAGGTGAGCGGTCCGGAGTGTGGGAACTGTTTATGACGATTAGATTAAGGTATCCACAATCTTAAAATGCTATAGGAAGGGAGGGAAATAGGTCCGCGGCGTAGGAAGTGGCGAAGGAAGTAGTAAAGGCGAGTAGTCCGGAGTGTGGGAACTGTTAACGACGATTAGATTAAGGTATTTACAATCTTAAAATGCTATGGGAAGGTAGGAAAACAGGTCCGAAACGTAGGAAGTGGTAAAGGAAGTAGTCAAGGCAAGCAGTCCGGAGTGTGGGGACTGTTTATAAGGATTAGATTAAGGTATCTGCAATCTTAAAATGCAATGGGAAGGGAGGGAAACAGGTCCGCGACATAGGAAGAGGTGAATGAAGTAGTAAAGGCGAGCACTGTGGAGTCTGGGAACTGGAAACCAATTGTAACAGTTCGATTTCTGTATCTGAAAGTGAAATACTGAAATGCTATGAGATGGGATGGAAAGATGTCCAAGACATAGGAATTAGTAAATGCTAGCAGTGCGGAGTGTGGGAAATGTTGTTGGCAATTAGATTAATGTATTTAAAATACTAAAATGTAATGGAAAGAGATGACAACATGTCCACGACGTAGGAAGTAGTAAAGTTTAGCATCGCAGAGTGTAGGAACCGTTTGTGGCAGTTAGATTAATGCATCTCTAATACTTAAATGCTATGAGAAGGGAGGGAAACAATGACGTAGGAAATGGTGAAGGAAGTAGTAAAGGCTGGCATCGCAGAGTGGGGGAATGATTTTCCCCGAGCAAAGCTCGGTCTCCAGGTACTGAAACTATTAATTACAGAAGGATTTTTGGTATCCAACCCAGAGAAAGAGAAGAGCACTTTTAAAAGAAATTAGTACACGAGTACTGTGAAGCTAGTCATTATACTCTATGTTCACTGTGCAGTACATCAAGTGTTATGCTAACAACTAACAAGATTACTGGGAACATAATTCCTATTGGTTGCGTAAACTAACCTCGTGACCCTTCTAAAGGTGCTAAAATACATTTTACTCTCTTTTGTACTTTAAGCTAGATTGGTATTTTGGCTCAGTAAAGACAGAGTTTGAATAGTAATGAAAAAGCGTACGAAAAAGTTAAAAATAAAGCTTTTCTCGAGTTATGATGTTTTTAGGTTTGCTGATTGGCCTACTTCCGTTTGAAATACAAGGTGAGCCTTTGAATTACTGCATGACGAACAGATAATTGAGTATAGGCTAGCAACATATCAAAACTAGTGAGGCAAAAAACTGTTTTTTAATACAAACCATGGTATCAGCTCACCATTTCTAGAATTCCGTCCTGTCTATCATGGGATTTTTCCTGTAAAATACTTTCATGAATAGAGATGATTTGTATTGTATTGTATTGTATTGTATTGTATTGTATTATATTGTATTGTAATCTTGGCTTAAATTGGCTAAGGCTACTATCTTTTCTAATTAGATTTGAAAAATAACAAAATGGGCTATCAGTATTCCAAACATCACCATCATCATGTTCATCATGTTTATCAGTATTCCAAAATTTCTATCGAGAAGAAGTTGACTAGATTTGTTGCAATCACAACATTGTCAAAAGGTGTGCAACAGGACAAATCATCAGAATAAATACCATGACATGTTTTATGTCATGTTTGAACATAACAGAAAACAAAGACATAACAAAAAACCAACAACAATAGCTATCATAATTTATCGGTCCCGGCGACAGCACTATTTATTTATTTTGATGTTTTGTATTGCTGGCTCAGTTGACAAAATTGTGCAATGAAACTGTTCAGTGTCTTTGTGATGTCAATTTTGGACCAAGGATGGAGGTGGGATAACATTTTGTGTCACAAAAGGAGTCCAAAGGCTATGGATTTTTAACACGTTCCCTGCTGATCGCTAGATGCCGGGACGGCGCCAGGAGCTGAACTAACGCTCGGCCGCTGCGTGACATTGCCGCCGATACACTGGATTACAGTAAAAACAACAGTAATTATACTGGATTGGATGGCAATGTTCTGCAATAAAACTAGCTTTGGACATAGTACTAAGTGATTCTGATAGATAGCAGCACTACCCAGGTTACAGTCGGTAAAGTAGTGTCGCTAGTGTGCTGGCAGGAAAGAGGTGAAACAAAGCCCTGTTCCAAACGACCCTGGTGGGGATTTTGGGAAACTATATTTTTTATTGTCAGAAAAGTACGTCCCCACGAGCTGCAAAGAAATATAGGACGCTTGTGATGAGCTGGCTTATCCATAGCAACGTTAAACAACAATGAATGGTGACGTTCCGGAACGTTCCTAGCTCCTGGCGCCGTGGCCCGGCTGACGTTCCGGAACGTCTGTAGCAGCGAACGTGTTAAAAGGAAAAAAGTAAACTGTGTGCAGTGATGTAGTGGGAGTGAACGCATGGACAAACTGTAGGCCTACCCACTTTGCTTTTTTTCCAAAAATCCTATCTAGACAATGGTGATCATTACTACATTAGAAAATTCACCACTACACTACTTACCATGTAAAATACTATTACACAAACACTCTGTTCATGGCTATTAATAATGAAAAACTCACCTCCGGTCCCGTAAAGTCTTCTGTTTCTCTGGTGATCTTCCTCTCTTGGGTTCATGTTGCAGGGAAAAGTGTACTTCAGAGTATGGATCAGGGACCCTACGCCCTAGAAACAATAAAAAAAATTATGTAAATCAAAATAGTGGAGTAAAATTACAGTGAGTGGTTCGAATTAATTGCATTTTTGACCCACAATGGAATACATGCCCTTGTAAATTTCTTTAAATGTGACTTGGTCTAGTTAGGATACTGATATAGATTTGCTTGGCTTTTTGCTATTGAAACCAATAAACTTTGGAGCACTAAAGAGAAAATAACACTGTTAACTAAGTCAATAAAACTGTCTGTTGCTTGCAAGAAAAATTATACCTCATCACCTATCTGCACTATAACCACAGCATGCAAAAAAAAATGTAGGCTTTGTTTTAGTAATAAGTTTTTTCCCAATGCCTGGGAATATCTCTTGCAATCACACTCTTCTTTATACACAATAACCTTAAAAGAAAACCAACAAAACGGTGTTATTAAATGGAAGCTAGGCCATAGTTGGAGGCCATTAGTTTTTTTTTCAAATTTCCCGCTTCTCTACAAAGTTTATGTTAAATCTACAGTCTTCTCTCAGTCATCGAAAAATCACGTACAATTTTCAGTTTTCTCGGTTCTTCTGACTTTAATCTTATTTAGAACAAATAGCTTTTTTAAAATTTAAATACTTATTAATTTTTTTTCCACAACAGATGGTCTGGTTTAGGTGGAACTCAGGTGTGGTTGGATTAAGCCAGTCAGCGTCCGTCACTAGTGTGTGAGCACGTGGTTTGCCGAAAGTTTAAAAACTTAAGGGTGGGGTAGGTTGGCAGCAATGACAGTATTGCTGTTCTGCAGAGTTGCCAAAGCGATGGTGATTACCTTTAATAAAATTCTCTTATCAACCCCAGATACCTTTGATTCGAAAATTGAAAAATTCTCATATCAGTCTCGGGAATAAAAAAGTCCTCTTATTCCTACAAAACAGTACGGTTGTATTATTCCGAGGATTTAAACAACAATGTAATTATGCTCGCCCTGTTAGTTTTTTCCCTATTAGAACTCTTTACTTGTACCCTTCAATCCATTACAATGATAATGTATTTACAGAGCGTAGGGTAGGTTGGCAGCGCTACATTCAGTCAGACAGAAAACGCCGTTGCATAAAGGGTTCCATTAGATCCTATGTAAAAAAAAAAAACTCCCCGACAGAAAGTTTGTCTGGTAATTCAGAAAAATCCCTGGACTGTGCCTCACTTATCAACACTTAAGAATCACTTAACTTCACCTCTGTATTCTTGAATTTGGCTGGAGGCTCGCACGCTTGCTGCTGTTCCTCTGACATTTGCGGCTGAACTAAAGCATGACTCACCTGAGCGGCGTTTTTGCGAAAATCTGTTTTAACTTGGAACCATGACTTGTGACGACAATCATACTGTGGCCACCCTCAACAAATCTACACGCAACCAATTGAGACAAGATGACAGAGGAGCCCGCTCACCGCTCGTATCGTACTCGGAGCCTATAACCGCCATACCTTGACAGTACGACGATCCCTCCCCTGATGTTCTGCGTAGTACGACAACATGTTCATGAACTCATACAGGTTGTAGAAGTTGATCATCGGAGAGAAGACCAACACTCGTATGTGCATTCCGATGCTGCTGAGACACTGTTGGGTCCGTATGTGATCCAAGATGTACTGAAACATGTCACAAAGTTAACTGGGTTGAAAATTGGGATTTCTGTTTGTTTTGGAACTGCTATTGTATTGTTTTTAAATCCTTAATTTACACAATTCTATTCTAGATGAGTTTTGTACAACGCCTTCACACTCGGGAGCGTTATTCAACCCTTCAACTTCCAGTCTTCCTCGTCACACGTAGAGAGACATTGCTACGGTTTGACGAGACTTGTCACTACACAGCCCGGTAGGATGTGGCTGGCATCTGACAACAAATCAATGAATAATGGTGTACTGTACAGCTCACATTGACCTTATTTTTACTGTAGCTATAGCCCTATATTTTACAGCTGTTCCCAATCCTAGTGAGGTTAACAAAGAATATTTGTTTTCAAATATGAAAACGAAAACCATGTAAGTTGATAGTACTATGTTTAAGGCTGTAAATATGGACATAAAGGTTCAGTTGGTAGTTCACGAGGTATTTTAAAATTCTATATTAAAAATGAATTCATGAATTTACTTGTGACTAGCACCAACACTTATGTCGAAGAGTAAATAGCAAAGAGGGATGGTTTGGCTGCATTTGGAAGAAAACTGCCATAGCAGGGTCGAGGGAAAGTTTAAAAACCTCAATTGGAAGGGCAAAATGGTGAATAAGTCTAACAAAAAATCTTTTAGATAGTAGAGGGAAATATGAAATATTTAATCTAGAACACATCTGGAAAGAATGTGGAAAAATAATGATAATGTATAAAAACTAACACAAAATAACTATTTAAACGAGTAAATTATGTGTAGCTTCTTAGTTTATGGTGGCCAAGAGGCTGTTTGTTTCGTATCTGAACCGTGTGCATAACCCAAACAATAAACAAGTGTCTGATTGTCAGCCAAAAATGTCACCAGAAGCTGAGCTATTTTAGCCTTTAATCCAAAAGACAATGGTTTCCTCATTTAAAAATTGGTCCGATGCCAGTTCTCACAGTTAAAATACCATCTGATCCTTTGGGTATTGCTAAAATTACTGTGAGAGAGCTCGGTTTTCCTTAAATGCCTAGAATATGAAACTGAAAGACCAAAGGTAAACTAAGTGTGTTTAAATTTTAGTAAAATACCCCCGCCGCAGCAAACCTGCAGACTAAGCGAATTTCCATTTGCCTCATTGTATTTACACTAAAATGCCTCCATAAAAATAACACATGTATTTCCTATTTAAATAGAATAAGTTTAATAAGTAATTAGGTTTGCTGCAACAGGGAGGGTAAAAAAGATTTTTTTTAATAAAATGATAATAGTTTAGTAAGAAATAAAAGTATTTTCCAAAATCAATCAAAATATGTTCATAAACAAGCAAACTACAACAGTTGAATTATTCTCCATAAGAATAACATGGGAATTTTAAAATTTCAATTTTTTTGAATTTTCTCCGTAACAATTAGGCGCATAATAACGCTTCAATATACTAAATTATTTGTTTTTTTTAAGCTCTAAAAAATGGTTTAAAAAGAAATTGTGAAATTTTGTGTTTTTAGGGTCAAAAATGCGAAAAACCTATTTTTACCCCATAAAACCCCCCATAAACCCCCGTTCCCATAGTCCGATCATGCTGGTTCGCGAACTCATTCAAGTTTATCCCGCCTTACACCTTCAAACCAAATGTTATCAAAATCAGACAAAAATTACTCAAGTTATCGTGCGGATGGACACATATATATATATATATATATATATATATCTCTATATATAGATATATAAAAATTTGAACGAATGGTGTTTTTTGGCTTCTGGGGACATCAAAATGAAAAAGTAAATCGGTCCCGGGCTTAGGTCTTACCATGAGACCTACGGTAATAGCTACTTCCCTATAGGGAAATTCGCTAAAAATAAAAAGGTACGCACCTTTAAGGTAGGGCTACTGGTAAACCTTAGAATACCTTTTTTTGGAGTTAAAATTGGTCTCTGATCTAATTTTTCATAGATTTTTATAGATTTAAAATAAATTTTGCATAATTTGTGACTAACCTGCCAGCCTGAGTAATAGTTGAACTTGCGGCGAGTAAGGGTTGTGTCTCGGAACACAAATGTGGCCCATGCTGGTGACAGGTAGAACCCCCTGTTCCACGAGGAGCATGTCAGCGAAGCGTAATACTTCTGTTCAGCGTTGAGATACGAGAATATCCTTTCCAACACCAGGTCGGGCAACTCACACCAACGATCTTCCTCGATCCGAGGGAACTTTGGTTTCTCTGTAACATTAAACTCTTGTTAGTTTGTGACTTTAGTCATAATACCAGCAACATTATTTGAGAAGTAAGTGACACAACCCATACACTCGTACGTGGCCTATTGAATGAAAATAGGCTAACTTAAGTTTACCAGAATGTATGTTATAGGCTAAGTCTAAGATGAGACTGTTGGATGAATTACACAAGATGGCAGCTTGGTTTTTTGGCTAAGAACATTCTGATTTGACTGTAATAAGTTACAATTTTATTTTATTAGGTATCAATTTATATTCATACAGAGGTGTCCGTAGTAAGCTAATAGGCCGATAGGCCTATAAGTTATAGCTGGGTACCTGAGTGGTTGGCTAGTGCTCGCCTAACTTATTCTTCTGATGTTCAGTGGTTCGATACTGAGATGATCATTCAACTTTTAAACTGTTTGAAACTAAACATAGGCCTAGCCATGGCAACTTGGGCTTCTAATAACTTAGATAGTCCTAACAAATGAAACAGCTGATCTTAAGTCAGGAACAATGCTACTTAAGGCATCTAACTATCCCAAACACATCTTTATTCATAGCCTTTATAGTATGGCGGTATGGATTATTTAGGGCTACTTTGAAAATCATCAGGATGGAAAAAGTGGCTCTTCAAGCTCGGCCAACGAGTACAACGGCCTTTTAACCCAGTGCTTTAAGGAAGGTCTTTTCTGAAAGGCTTAATCTTCAAATCTCTTACAGTTTTGGGAAGCGAGTTAAACATCTTAATAGCATAAGTTACCGTGGGTATTATTTCAGGGATCTGCTTAGACGACATCAGGGCATATAAAAGTCTACTACGTTTCGTGTCTCATAACTTAAGTATGCTGGTCTCTCCTGTCAAAGTCAGTTTTCCTTTTCCTTCAGGAGACCAAGGATGTTGTACACATACTAGCTGAACAGTTTTAGTAATTGCAGTTCTTCAAATGTAATCACCTGAAGTGCCATCTTTTGCATTAGTAGAACCTGATGCACAGCTGAACAGTGACCCCACAGGACAATACCGTATGTTATATGAAATTGAGGAAGAGGGCGTGTTAAACAGTCATCAGATAAGGCGAGTGACTCTGATTTGATTTCAGATGTGCCATTGGTGCATCTCCATTCTCATAATAATGGTAGTAATACAAAGCCACATACCCTAACCTAAGAACTACCATTTGTTACTTGTCATCTATCATCTAGTCCTAAAGGTGGATTGTACTTACAAATTAAATAATTGTATAGACCTAGTAAGTTATCAATGTTATTTGAGGGCAGTTTTACATCCAAACACACTATTGTTCTACAACATCTAACCATTTTGAATAAAAAGGCAGCATTTTTATTTATTTAGATGAGGAAGCCTTTTACCTTTGGCTAGATAGGCCTACCAGGAACTTTATTTGTAACACGTACTGTTTTGGATGCCTAATGAATGACAAAGTTTAACGGAGGTTTTCAATAATTGACATTAACTTATTACCTTTCACTCTAATCGTTGAATTAACCACTTGATTGTTACATCTTAATCAATCTAGGCTATATAAATAATATTTAACTATTCTTCAATGCACTCGGACTTGATGCAACTGTAATGTTCATGTTTATGTTTACAACTTGAACTTTTGTTTACGTTTTTTGTTACGCAGAGGATACGCGACCGGTAACCGGACGTGGATTAGGCGTCCGGCAGTTACTGTCATAACCTAACCTAACCAACCAAACTTGCTGATAGTGAAAAAAATCAAATGAAGGTTCAATTCTCTTCATAACATAAAATTATAAATGCCGAAAATTCTAACAAAAGATGTACAGTTAAGAAGAAATTACATTCAAAGCAAAATCTGTGACAAAAAGTTCAAGTCACCGATGGGTTTCGAACCGGGGACATCTCGCACATCAGCCGAGCACTCTACCCACTACACCACGAACACTAATGGTTAAATATCGTATCATTGTGGTAATGGCGTTCCGGGACCCCCTACCGGACGCCTAATCCACGTCTGGTTACCGGACGCCTAATCCACGTCTGGTTACCGGACGCGTATCCTCTGTGTTTTTGTTATGATTTGAAACGAAGTTTCGATTCCGATAATCCACTAATCCACGTTCCGACAGTCCATGGCTTGGAATTATTTTTTCTCAGATGGTATAGACGAGAGAAAATGGCAAAACTGAAAGCAGTCAATGATTATGGATGCTTAACATTGACTAGATTCTGCTATTTGGCTTATTTTTCGATTGAAGAAATTTATTTTGATGTATGAATTTCCAGTGAACTTAGTAGAGTGCGTTGAAGGATAAATTGTATCTTTCTTTCATTAAGAGGAAAATTTTGCAACGTGTATGACAATTTATTACAACCGTTATTATTGTAAGATAATTAAAATAAAGACTTAGTGAAATTTCACTAAGTTCTTGCAATTGCAAGAGGTTCATTAAGTATTGGACGGAAACATATACCTTCAAATGTTCTTTAGCTGATCCCTGATGTAAATGCCTATGACACATAAAGTATGCATGTTTAAATTTGTAAAAATGTATAGTACTATGCAAGAACTAATATAGTTAGTAGGTTGGCCAATTGCAGAATTTATGTTACTAATACAATGCAATATTATGTCAACAGTAAAAAAAAACAAAAAAAAAACAAAAAAAAAACTACAGTATTTGCATGCAACATTGGAGTGCATTTTAAACAACGTGTTTACTCATTTATATTGTTGATTTTTGTCAACTGGAGAGCTAAAACTATTTCTTCTGCTTTACAGTATCCATGAACTAAAATACTAAAATTTAGACTATTACAAAAAACTCAAAGGTTATGCAACCAAATTTTTAATAAAAATTGTATGTCCCTTTTGCAAACAATGATACAAACTTAGAGTTAAGAAGTACTTTTATTCTAAAAATACCTAAGATAAATAATAATACGATTAAATACAATTACTGAATTTGCGCACTGGCGTCGTCTTCTGTGTATCCATCGCTGAGGCACAGCACCAACTGATTCCCCGATCTGCGGCCGGGCCATGCTGCAATTTGGAACTTTGCCCAATTACTTAAACTACGAGTGCAGCTATAAGAATGCGATTTTAATTAGACTAAACCACTTAAATAGTTTACACTATGTCCATTTTAAGAACTCCCAACTCTAGTGTTTGTAAAGCAGTGATCTCGTGACAAATTTTGGAGCCACCCCAGCGGTTCGTCGGTTTTAGCTTTCCAGGAAGTGGTTTACCTGGTTTATTTAATTACACACACGTGTATCAGGAGTATTAGTATAAGTTGTTGGGAGTGTCGTACCGTAATTCTCTTGCTTGATCAGTACTGCCAACCTAGATGCTGAGTTGGCTTCATTTCAGGTCTTAAATACCTCATCTTGGCCAACACCCACTACGCTTTAAGGTCACGTGAATATCTGTAATCAACAATTACGATTTCAAGACTTCCGATCACATCAACTCTCTATACTGAAGAAAATAGATTGAGAGTGTCTGAGTCCAGTTGCTTTTTAGGCTATAAAATTAAAAATAAGATAATACGAATTTTGTTCTTGTGTTTGAGTAGGAACATGGTTAGTGGTGTCCTATCTAATTCGTGAAGGAATAGCTGATTATCAATGTTGTTTACATTTTTTAGTCACAGCATTGTCAATCAATCAATCGAATCGGATCAATGTAATTGTATCAATACTTAAGTGGACAGGTCACAAATAAGTGACCCAGCTTGAATTTGCGAATTTCAAACTGAAATACTTTGATTGGGGTTGTAAAGAGATTATGGTCATGGCCCTAGAGATTCATTCACAAGCTAAAATCAATGTTTCATAAACGCCGTATCAAGCTATAATTTATTTATTTGACTTAGGTCCTAAGAACCCGGGTTTAAATCCCAACTATCACCAATGGATTATAGCAATGCATTGCTTCGGCACTTTATAGACAGTCTAGACCTAGTCTGAAATAATGGGTTAAACGGGTTCGGGATAGATCCTAGCGTTCTAAGATGTAGATAGGACAAAAATATACATAACGAAACTCCTGCGACCTCTTCTGCTAATCTTCAGCGATGCATAGCGTAGAAAAACTTACCCAACTGCTCAGAAAGATATGAAGAACAGCTGATTTAGACAGTTTTGCTACAACAATGACATTTGTGTACATGACTGGTCCATATGTGTTATATTTGGACCAGACAACATCGGTGCCCGGCAAGGTTTAAAATTAGCTGACCAAAAGAGATTTCTAGCTATTCTTATCGTATTTCCCACTGACTTGTTGACATTTTGTAGCTTATTGTTCTTATGATTAATTGTTGGCGTTGGTTAGCACTGCGTCTTTCTAAAGATAAAATAAGCAACAGCTGTTTCTAGGATCAAAAAGTGCCGCATACGTGTGCGCTTTTAGAAAACACTGGGCATAAAAATGTCTTGATAAAAAATACCTCAATAGTTCAACACTTAAAATGTTTGCGTAGGCTATTTTTTTAAATCTAAAACGAATCTCAAACTGTTGTTAACAACAAATAAAAAATGGTTTAACCAAGGCAATTTGGTTCAATAATGAATTAATTGTTCAAACTTTAGATAGAATCTTCAGCATCCAATAGTCAATGATAGAATATACTTATACAGAAACTATACTTATTGACTGAAGTACACGATTTCATAAGTTATTGTTGTGTTTATTATTATTTTTACTATAATATAAATTAATTTAAAAAATAGTTCAAATTAAGTAGCCTAAGTGTTAGCATTCTTGGATTTAGAGAATCATGGATTTTCAAATGAAAAATAATAGCTATACAAATTTGATTTGAGATTAACTGATATATTTTCGGTAGTTTTGTTTATGAGGAAGCTAGTATTCATAAAGTTAAACTAACTCATTAAAACTGTCGCCTTTTACAGAACTTGAAGTTCAATTTTTAACAATAACAAAATCACACACCAGATTAATTTGATTTAGTTTTTAAATATTTTTACTCTTGACATGGTTTGTTTATAATTCATGGAACCAACGATGGATAAGTAGTTATTAACATCAACGAAGATTTATTTTCCGCCAGATATTTGTAGAGACATCAGCTGTTTGGAGTCACGTGACATGCTAAGAACACATGTCACCAATAACAGCTGGACATATCAAGAGTGAGTTAAGAGGGTTTCCGAGCGTATCATTGGATAATTGATTCCCTCTTGAAAATTCACCTGTCAAGGATGTTAACTTTAAACGATTCCAAGTTTTGTATTAAATTAGGAATGTCAAAGTATTGCGGAGTATGATTTACATTTAAATAATCTGTAGTACAAATCTTATTTGTTTTGGAAATAAGTAGAAGATACATTCATAAGATCTATGTTGTCGAGCCTGCATTAACATTATTAACTAAATATTAAAACGTACAACAAACTTTAACTTCTTCTGGCTTATTTGATCAGGAAAGATACATAAATACGTTGTTATTTACTTGAAATCTGATGACTGTTATGCAAGGGTTACAGTATTTAAGTTAACATTAGAACAAGTTTGTCAAATTTAAGGTGAACCTATGTTTCTTCTCTGCGTATAGGGTGTTTATTTGTTCTATTATGCATTTTTTTCTCATGTTATTAACTATTGCGGATACAAAAAACTATAACGAACTAATAAGTAGGATGAGCTGGTCTAGTGGTGTGGCGCGGGACTTAGGTCCTTGAGGTCCGGGGTTCAAATCCCGCCAATCACCAATGGACCTATCTAAATGATACTGCCACAAACCATATGTCTAACCTGAATTAATTTGACTAACGATCCCGGGCTGGACCCTAACGCCATTGGACAAACAATTACAAAATAATAGAGGCATATTTACCAATAAATTTAGCTCGCTCTGTTAAATTTAGGCTACACCGCAACAAGAAAGATGCATTTGACATCAGCGCAATGAATACTAGCTGAATATAAAACGCACACCATAACAAGATTATTTATATTCTATATTGGATTAGAGCAATGCTTGTAAATTTCAAATTGAATAGTGTTTACGTGTTTTAAACGGCCAACGATATTGAGGTGGAGTCTTAGGTATTGCCTTTAAAAGGTGTGACTGGTGTGCGAGACATATTAAACTCATTGAGTAAGAAGGTGTGCTGCGACAGGGGTATCGTTGAAGCAGATCCGCCTCAGACGATGTTGATAACTACGCCAATATGACACGTTTGCGGCGAAGCAGAAAACTTTCTCTTGACTTTCAAAAATAAACTTCAGATCTGTTTTCTTGGTTCTTTAACAACTTCCAAATCTTTTCTGTAAAACCGTATTGATTGATGATTTTTAGTGTTATATTTAGAGAGTAATTTAGTTCATTATTGTACTTAACTGAAATAGCTTAAACAAGTCGGTCTTTTACTCACTAACTAAACAAGTTTAACAGCGTTTTATCACGGTTGTTTTTCATATTTCGTATAAATTTGTGCGAGAAAAGAGAAATTTTAATTTATTAGAAACATAAGGTAAACTATATTCAACATTGTGAATAGTTATTGAGCTCTATTAAAAAAACTTCAAAAATTATCATATACAATAAAAATAAACTATTACGAATGGCGAAACCAGTTTATTTGGATTAAAGAAGGGCGTCAATGAAACCACCTAATCATGTTTTTTTTTTTACTTTGCTAATAAATTGTTAGAAATTTCCTCTACGTCTGAAATTAATTTCTAATTCTGTGTACAGCCAAGTAGGCAACCAACAGTAAACGCACATCCATTTACTTTAAACGTATAATAGCAAAATGTACCCAGATAAATTGAAAATGTATTTTTATGAAGTAACATCGTTTTATTTATTTGAACCCCTCGCTTTTTTCCTATAGCCTTATGACAACTCTTGAAAGAGCGCCAGTTCGAATCCTGTGGAGCTCACATAAAATTAAAGATAATGGATATAAATGTGCTTTCAGAAAGCGTCTATTCTTGCGTACTTAGTTCTGGGGACAAAGGTGAGAAACCCCCTTAGATAATACATGATAAAATATCCCCGAAGTAAGAACTATTCCTCAGTAATATCCCAGCGACCCTAAGTATAACATATGGCCCTATGGGTTGGTCGCGACTAGTATGTTTACAAGCCAGTGTTTACTTTGAGGGCGTTTGGTTTTCGTCAGAAAATATAAACAATCACAAGCGTTCTTCTTTTAAACTTCTGATACGCCTTTAGTCCATTACATTCTTTATCTATCTATACTATTATAAAAAAAGAGGTGGTTGCTGTATGTGTGTATGGGAAAAGTAAACTCGAAAAAAAACTGGTCGGATTGGGCTGAAATTTGGCATGATGATAGCTCACATTCCCGATTAACATATAGGCATATTCTTATTTCAAAAATCCTTTCGGGCTCCGCCCCAGTGGCTCTGGAGTTTCCCATGTTAACCTTATGAGAAATGGAATTATTGAATCTTAACAGCTGTTTCAATAAAACAAGTTGGTTCTGTTCTATGATGTTCAATAGCATTAAAGTTACAAGGATTACCAACAGGGTGAAGCACTATTATTTCTTTTACATAACAGCTAATTTGCAACCAAAAGGTGAGTGAGCGTAGCGAACGAACTTCAACCTGGAGGCAAGTTAGCGTACCGAACGAGCTAACCTGAAGGCAAGTGAGCGCAGCGAACGAGCTCCAACCTAAAAGTGAGTGAGCGTAGCGAACGAACTTAAACCAGGACGTGATTGAGCCATGCGAACGAGCTCACTTATGAAGTTAAACGGGGCAAAGCCCGCGGGTACAGCTAGTAACACTATAAAAGTTGGAGGTTTGTTTCAAATCCAGCTCTAAATCTGGCACATCATATAATAAAAGTTCTACAAGTATTTCATAATCAGGGACTGATTCGAATTTGCTTGCTTTGCTTTTCGTGAACTATAAACGGAATTCTTGATTGATAGAAAAAGGAAACCGAAGGGTAAAAAGTTTGTCGAAAAGGACTTGCAATCTTTCAAGAAACTGTTTTCGAGGACTTGTTTCAAGATTTAAGAACTTCCCAACTTCAACTAGTTCAACATTTTCACTTGTTAATACTGAACTCAGGTGGTTAAAGTGTATATCTACATATTGTAAACCTAACTGTGTTGGTAAAGTTACATTCATGTCTCTTGTTAACAATATATTGAAAGGAATTGTCAAGGGAAAAATTTTAATCATGATGGCTCCATGTATGGTGAGTAAACATGGACAATATTACACTCATAACAAATAACAAATCCATCAATAAATATAAAATTTAAATAAAATTATTACAATATTTTACGAATAACATTCACCGAAAATTCCCGTATAATATGTACGCTATTACAAGTCTAAAAATAAGTCTATTATACCAATCAGTCGAAATATTTTGTTTATTTACTATGTTAAAACTATGGTTAAGATTTAGTTTTGTGCAAATTTAATTCTTAGGATGTTAATTTTATATCTTACGTTTTAAAAATATTGACTTTTCGTTGAGACAAAATCTACTTTAATCCATTGAATGCCATTTAAAACCGTATGTGTAAGTACAAAGCCTCAAGGCAAAAACATTTTACACACTTTTTCAGACTTAAAAGTGTACGTAATAGTACAAAACAAATTAATCTACTTGCTTAACTGAAATCTCTTAAAACAAGTTTTTATATTTTACTCAATAACTAGACATGTTAAACAAAATGCGAATAATTTCTAATAATTATTCAACCACCCAAAATTTTTCCTTTAATTTCCCCCTAGATTTAATGCTATAAATCTAGTTATTGTGCATTAGGATTTGAAAATATATTTAAATTTTTTATTGAAGCTATGTATAAAATCAATCGTTCATATAGAATAAAAACTGTTCAGTTTTAACTTTCGTTTTGCTTGTTTTTTTACGTACCTACAAGGGTTATCACTGTATTATTATTCTCCAGCATGTAGGTATATTAACTTATTTTTTGTAATAATGATTACTTTTACACTAAATAAACGGAATATGTTATTCCCACCGGAGAGAAGGTCTTTACACTCCACAAACAATCTCTTAACCCTAACAACAAGAGTGATAAGAGACCAAATTTACAGCCCCATGAAAGTCAAATGTCCAGTATTGAATGAACATGAGGATTTACCTGACGGATAGCCGGGCTGGACAGTGATATAAATTTTTGTTTGCTAATTCATTAAAAATATTCCATTAAAATCGTCAATTTCAAAAAAAATTTAATACCATTAAATCTGGCACAGTATATTTTTCAGTAACAAAAATTCGAGGAAACGGAATTTTAACCGTAGACGGTGACTCATTCAACCGTGTTCTTTTTAATAAAATATAGAAAGTGTTGCAATCCAGTTCACATTCAGAGTTGACGTAGACTGGGAATGAACTGGTTAACATTTCCTTGGCGTCATTTTAGCTTACCTCCACTTAATGCCACAATGTAAATATACAGAAAAAAAAGTCCCTGGACAGTTAAATATTTTAAAAAATAATGTAGATAGAGCTACAATAATTGGTACAAAGTTACAGGGCATAAAACTCTATTTTAACATATATTCAGTGATCCAATAACTCTTCAGGGGGACGGCCCACAAGGAGTCGGAAGAAAATCTTAAATGGAAGCATAGGTCAATATGCACATCAAATTAAAGGTCTTTTTTAGTAGAATACAATGCCACAAACCGCACTTCAAAAGGTTGATCCTGCGCAAAATGGCAGATGTTCAAAGATTTCTTGAATCCGCCATTTTGAATCTTTGAACGACTGCCATTTTTTACTCAGGCATTCTTTTGAGCTTAAATTTACGGCATCGTAATCTACTAGTGAAGACCTTTAATTTGATGTGCATATCGACCTATGCTTACGTTAACAATTTTCTTCCGATTCCTAGGGCTGTGCCCCCTGAGGAGTAAGCGTATAATAGCAATGTAAATTAAATGAACCTTTGAACAACTGTCATTTTGCGCAGGATTAACCTTTCGAAGTGCGGTTTGTGGCATTGTATTCTACTAAAAAAGACCTTTAATTTGATGTGCATATTGACCTATGCTTCCGTTTAAGATTTTCTTCCGACTCCTTGTGGGCCGTCCCCCTGAAGAGTTATTGGATCACTGAATATGTGTTAAAATAGAGTTTTATGCCCTGTAACTTTGTACCAAGTATTGTAGCTCTATCTGCATTATTTTTTTAAATATTTAACTGTCCTGGGACTTTTTTACCACCCTATTGAAAGTTTTACAATATGATTATAGTAGTTTACGCAAGGATTGCAAAGATAGTGTTAACGACACGAGCAGAAAGTTTAAGGTACGAGCCTTGGCGAGTGCCTTAAAAACTTCTACGAGTGTCGTTAACACTATTTACGCGAGTTGCGTACACTACTTTACCTACGACATTGTTTTAATTACTAAAAATACCTATTCATAATTTCTAAAATAGGTTATGTTTTCGTTTAACCTCCCATTGCCACTGACAGTGATGCAACGAAACACACTAATCGCACCAATCAACAATTAAATTGGCCTGAACAGCTGATTAGTTGAATTTTGAATCATTACAATTTTACTTCTCCTCTCTCAATCCTTGAACCTCATTGGTCAGTTACCCGTGCTGTTATGAGTAAAACTATGCTGTTATGAAAGTAAACAATGCTGTTATGAGATACTTTTTATGTACTGAAACTACTTTAAAAAACGGTCGTAGGTAAAGAAGTTTATTGGCAATACCAAACAGTAACTAAATTTAATTTGTAGTTATAAACTGCATATTGAAATATTTAATCGTTCTTTTGTTCATAGGACACTTAAAATTTGTTATGAAAATGTGCAAATTGAATTTGAAATAAAAGTTAAGTAATTTTGCAATTTTTTATAGTCACAAAAAAAATTATTTGTGTTACTAAAGAATTTTTTTTATTTTAAGACTGTTTTCGGATTTAATAATATTAAGTCATGCATCACAATGTTATGAATCAAACTTTAATTTCGAATACGTTATGTATTGGTTTTGAACGTAAATTCAACGTATGCTGCAGGATGTCAAAGATCAACATATTAAAGTCCTCTCTTCACAAAAATGAATACGCAATTCAAATTTTAATCTGATAAAATATTCCAAGTGTTTTTGAATAATCTGTATATGATAACTTGAATGAAACGACATTATTACAAGTATTGTTACCTAATATGAAATTCAACCCGTTGAATTCCAGCAAAATGTTGACGTGAGAAGTTTGTTTGGAATTTTTAATATCCAGATTCTGTATAATTTTTCTGTTGTTTTATCAAATTGTTCCTTATTTTTTCAACGAGAACTTCGAAAATCAAAACAGCATGGATCTCAGTTGTATGACACGATTATTAAAAACTGTTATATTATTTGATCACAGTATTTACATGTCTCAACTTATGAAGTATGTAAGACTTTACTGAATATATTGTATTGAAACTATTTAAAATACATATTTTTTATATAGTAACTTGACCCTGCTAATTATTATACAGGCCAAACTGGCCAAGTTAGGTAATATAATGGTTTAGTGCTAATTGTTTACAATAATAAAACTATAATTTAAAACTGATTAAATTTTAGTTTCACTTATCTGTGTTATAGTTTATAGACTTTTCCCACGCTATCCTAACATTCTGAGGTAATGTACGGTACCTGACTATAATAAGTAAGGGTGGCTGCACTTTAGTTTACGTCCTACACTCATTCAAACGTAAAATATTGATATTTAGGGCACCTATTTGATATATCGATTATTTCATTCGGTTAGTTAGGTTAGGTTTTAACCTATCCAACCAAACTTGATATATTGAATGAAATAATCGATATATCGATCGATTTTTTCATTCGAATGAGTGTAGGACGTAAACTAAAGTGCAGCCGTAAGGGTTGATAGGGGTTGCCATTGAAATATATAATCATATTATTATGGATGTTGAAACGAAATATCTACAATATAAAATGTCTGGCTTTTTAACAAATTTTGTTTTATTGTTCTCAGCCACCCATTAAACCTTTACTTGAAACAAAAGGGAGCTTATTGTATTCATGTTTGACTAATTAGTTCATTAGCCACTTAATTAATTGTCAACTATTATCGTCAATAATTGTTGAAAGCCGAAACGTATATTTTCGTTACATTATATTTTTTTGAATTCCTTAATTATATTAGTCTATATTGTTATGCCTTTAAATCATCGTATAGTTATTACACTTAAAAATTTAATTGCAATAATATATTTTTTAACGAATACAACATAATATTTCCTAAACTTAAACTTAGTTCAAGAAAGTGTTGGTAAATTAAACTATTCTCAACCCAATTCTTAGCAGAAAATATTTTAACCACTTTATTTCACAGTATGTATGATGCACAGTATTTTTTTGTTTCACTCTCTGCTAGTTAAAGCCCCAAAACTAAATCTGACATACCGAATCATGCTCGTGGCTTCCTGGCTTCCAGATGAAAAAAACGAGATCACAACAGGTTAAAGAAATACACTCTGTACACAGAACATTTGTTTATTTATGCCAGTGTGTAACAGGCAACATTGTACACGATGATTGTACCTAGCTTCTCGATCTATAAAATGTACAACATGGCGCTTACATAGACACAGACACAGTTTTATACGCCTTTGACCGTGCATGGCTGTAGCTCGGTCATGGCTAGGCACCAACACATCGTCGCCCGGCCCTAGTGAAGTAGTCTCGACTCATTCTATACTTGGGTTTCAAAAGTTGTGTTTCACGCAAATATTTTACAATACGGCAATAGTTTTGATATTTTTTGAAAGTGCATAAAAATCCACACTTGAAGTCCAAACCATATAGGGTAAAAATGATGTCTTCCAAACAAAAACATAATTTTCCCAACAGTATCTCGCAAACGTGGTTTACCGTATTTTCATTTTTACAAGTAGGCTAAGTTTCTTGATATTATTCATTATTCTAAGCTGTAATGGATTGTAAATTGCACAAGTTTGTATTTCCTTGTTGAGCGTAGGCCTATGTTTTTCTGTATACATTTTTATGTTTCGTGTCCTATTTTGGTAGTATATATTTGTTAAATTTACATTCAGAGATATATATTTCTTCCGTCATGGTTGTCTTTACCTCTTATAAATGTATATACAATTCAACATTGTGCAATGGAGTTTGCGTTATTCAATAAGAAGTAAGTAATAATTATTATAGTTATTCAATTAATCACGAATACTAGAAAAGACCCGGTATGACGTTTTTGGTCTAAAGTAAATAAAACCATAAGTTAATTAATGCTATTAGTATAGGGGGTTTGTTTATGATCCATGCCGGTACTTTTCTAGTATTCGTGATATTAATTAGGAATTTGCAAATTTTAAAATCGAATTTACATATGACATTAAAGTAACCACTATAATTGTTTATATTCACACGTTTTTCCCGTAAGGAATAATCATTTCTTGTACAGTTGTTTAAAACCCAAATTTTTATGTATTGAATACTACTGGAATGTAATTTACTGTATAAAGTACTCTAAATTACACTTCAGCTGCACACATAACACCTGTAACTTTACAATATTCTATATTTGGTAAACAGTTTCTTATGTCGATGATTTTCAAATTAAAATCCAAGCACTGAATAAAGCCAAGAGACTTAATCTCAGACCGATGTCACCAGATATAGGGACGGGCGACTTAGATATTTGTACAGAGACAGTTAGGCTCTACCTATATAGTATTATGTACAATATATAGTACTATCCTCTACGCAATATCACCATAAAACAGTGTTGATGAGACGGGTAGAATAGTATATACATAGCTGGGAAAACATTGATATAATATTGTCATATGCATTGGTAAGATATACAAAAGGGCAGTTCTTAAGATTAAAATACACCTTGTTTATTCTTGCAGAGAAACTGGCCCTTTGGAAACACTTAGAAAAAACTGTTGATGTGCGTAGCTCCTTAAATTAAAAAAACATTATAAATTCAAAGATTTTTAATTTTACAAACTCGTACTTACGTTGACTTGTATTATAAAACAAACCTGTGAAACAAAGGATGGATTAAACAAATATGTTAAAAAACTAAACTAAAGTAAAAATATATTGTATGTTTGTTAATATGTCTGTTAGTATAGTTTTAGTGAGACCCACATACAAATTAGAAATACTCTCAATATTATTAGGTCTAACGTGATATATAAAAATAATGTAAATTAGTTAACTATCGTAATAAATCAAATGCATTTTTTAAATCATCCTAATCAGTAATCGCCACATTATTCATTTTAAATTACTTCCAGAAAAATAGCTTGATATTTCTTACGGATTAATATCTGTTGGACATTGTTAAATAACTTTTACTTTATTTAAAATCTTTTACAAAGTCCAAAAAAAATTCGCTAAGCACAATATGAGTACACTCAGAACACTTAACCTGTTTCACCAAATAAATTTCCTATATTTATGATACAATGATAACGGAATTTTACCGTACAACACTTATATATTTACTAGGCAAGACTTATTGGGGTGGACTTCCGTATATGTTGGTACAAACAACCAAATGAAAATATCGATCGATATATCGAATGAAACAATCGAATAATCGATATTTTTATTCGGTTGTTTGTGCCAACAGATACGGAAGTCACCATTGACTATACGTAAAGGTGTAAAGTCAATGAAGTCACCCACTTATTGTTGCCTCAACGAAGATAGAAATTTGAAACACCAAACAGCTGTTGAGGTAATTTTAAATCGAGAAAGTGTATATAAAATGACGACATCCAACGTAACATAAATTTAACATGACTGGTATGTTACACATTATTGCTGATCTACACTACGTGGCAATAACAAAATGGCGTACTTAGTTGGCAGTAGTTTTGGAGCATTAAAACAGTGTTTGTAAATTGAAAAGCATCTATGTTTTGGCATAGAAAAAATATTAAATATAGACCGTCAGCTGTGCTGCTGTTACCATAGGTTCTGGCGCACACCGCTGGGAGCGCCATATAGTTACGGCATACGCGCTACGTAACACGGCGCTTCCAGCGGTTTGCGCCGGAACCTATGATAACCATGGTAACCACAGCACGGCTGACAGTCTATATTTTAATTATTTTTGTCTATGGTTTTGGTTAGGTTTGAAACTGGTTTCACGAAAAACCTTTATTCTCTTAATTTGCGTGTTTGGTTTTGATTCAACAGAACATCGTGATACTTACAAGATGCTAAAATCAGACTGGTTTACAATGAAAACTTGTGTTAAGTCTGACTTAAAATGTGTGAATTGAGAAAGGTTAGCCCAAATGATTATTCTTCAGCGTTAAAGTCTACTAAATAATTCTGTTGGTGTTATATTGTGTATGCGAAATACCTACACCGACCACATAACCCCTGTATCCTAACGGCTATAATATACTTCTGACATACAACATTTAAGTACGGGTACCAAGTATTAACGTTATTGTCTGGAAATACAAGAGCAGTTAGATAGACACGTGAACATCATAGACTCCAAACGATATAAAAGACTGCTGAAAAAACTAAGTAAAAACAATTACAAAATGGATATCAAAATATTTCATTCGCGATAAAACATTACACCTACAAATATTAACACATCCTTATTGTCAATCGGCAACCGTAACACGCACACAGGAAATTTGTAAAAATTTCTACAAAATACACCTAACTATACATCCAGTACGAACAAAATATAGTCTAAATACGTATATAAATATCCTTTACCTAACCTATAACTATCATGTACAGCCACCGATAACGACATCGACTTACATATATACTAAAATATACAACTGCACCACGGGTTATATACATATAGTATATATATATATATATATATATAAATGCACAAATACATCATTTTGGAACCAAATATGTATACATCCCGCATTGTGGAACCCTGCCGTCTTGGCTGTTGACGGCAGAACACTGCTGCCTTCTATACGAATCAAGCAACTATCGTACATATAAAAAACATAGAACGGTATTTAAAGTTAAAGCCTCCACCAAGGTATGGGTTCTGTACACTGGTTAGACCAACCACTCCAGTCAAACGTGGGTGCCGGTGCCATAGGAGGTATTTATGGCGGTGGTCTCTGACAACTCCTCTGGTTTCATTATTATTGACAATCTCTGCAACATAAAATCCACAGTTAAAGATTAAGCGTCCAACAAATTATATAATCTAGGTGTAAAAGGGAAATCTAACAGGTTAGGCTTCCACAAAAATATTGAATCTTTGGGATAACCTAATTGACTAGTGATTAAAGGAATGTTATTGAGCAATTTTTACATTATGTGAATGAAACTTTAAACCACAGAAGTGTTGACAAAATGAAATACTCCTTATATTACTTTCAAAGCACATTACCTTCAAACAAGAGCCGGGAGTAATGAGGAACTTGTAGATGATGTAGATAGGAATACACGAGATCGATGAGGCAGTGAGCAACCATCCCATGTTGATGCTCCACTGTGGGTACACGTAGTCCCCAGCGAGCATATCCTCGTAGCTGAGCAGTGAGAACACGAAGATGACCTGGTAGAAAACAACACAACTTGTAAACTATATAGTGAGCCGTGACTATTTCCACCGGGCGAATGTCACGACTCATGATCAATGGTTCAAGTGTTTTTTTTATAGTAGGCTAGTTCAGTGTTTCGTTGTCACTCCACGGCCCCCCGAACAAGGCTGTGGGTTTTGTTCTTATTACTCCGACCGCGAAGTGTCAGAGGTTGCGAGACGTCGGATTTGAGTACTTCACTGAAGATTTTTATCCTTTTAAATCTTCCTTTTTTGGATAATAAATGTGCCTTTTAAGTTTTATTCTTGGCCGTTTGTGAGAACTTTCTTTATGGAGTAACTTTAGTACGCCCCGCGCGCCTTTTGGGGCCCGTGAGGAGGAAAATGACTGACCATCTTCAGCGGAGAGGAATGTTGCGACTAGGCTGGCGCTGCATATTGGCCCCCTCTCCGCCCTGCCTCTTCTCTCCTCCGGTGCTGTCCGCCCAGCTTCATGGCCCTCCGGTGTCACACCCTTGAAGACTGTTACCGCAAGTTACCGACTAATTGTTATTTATCTAATTGTTATATATATTGCTGTTGCCGAATGGACTTTAAGATTTTTAACATTTGTTGACTATTTATAAGCACAGCAGCCTATTGTTATTTATTTCAAATTTTATTCTACTGTTGCCTAATTATCCGATTTTTAAAATCTCTCCACTGTATTTAATTTTTGGGGCCCCTAGTTAATTGCTAACTTTTCAGATATTTATTAAAAGAGTCATCATATTTTATTATTGTTATAGTTTGTTAGTTTTGGTAATTTCCTTTTATTAAATGTTAAATTTTTACTAAATCCTTCTGATTTTCTGAATGATTAAAATAAATTATTGTAAGTCAGCAGCTTAAACGGGTACCTAAATTTATTTAAGGTTTATTGAGAGTATTTAATTCATGTATTGTTGTTGATTATTGTTGTTGTGTTTTCTTTTAAATGGTTAATTACAGCTCGTTTCTCTCAAATGGCGTGTTGTTCTTGAACCTCCATCCATGGTTCTCATTTTGTTAAGTAAAGTTTTGTGAGCCGCTCCTCGGGCCTGCGCATGGATCACGCTTCCATTTCGTTAGTCTGGGTGCAGGCACGAGGGCATGGTTCATCTGGTAGCAGAGCGTGGTTGGTGGGTTGCGTCCTGGGTGCCTTGCCGTGAAACTTGGTTTCACGACTCGGATACTTAGAGATGCGATCACTGTCCACGTTCTGTTTTTTTGGTTTGTTTTGAAGAGCCGTGGATGGATTGGTTTCTTGGGAATGTTCTGGCCTGGCAGTTTTGGAAAAAGGTCTTGTTGTTGTTGTGGTGGGGCGTAAACACATTTTATTAGGAGCTCGCCCTTTGGCCGAGGCACCGGGTGGAATCGGTGGTAATGACTTGCATCCTTCGGGAGCAAGAGTGTCAAAAGCATGGTCATGTGTCAAAAAAAAAAAAAAAAAAAAAAAAAAAAAGGTTTGTGTGTACACCCCATCACACAAGTGTTAGGTGTTGTCTAGTGTATGTATCGGTGTATGTTTGTGTGTGTGTACGTTCGTGGGTCATTTGTTGTTGTTTTTTCTTGCGGTACTTGCGGTATGAATGGGCAGGTTCTTCTTTTGGGCCCCATCAGGTGCGTAGGCATCAACGTCCAGAAGCCTTAGGAATTAAATTTCTGTGTTTGTTTTGTGAAAAAATTGTTGTTGTCTGTTTTGAGTCAAGTACTGGTTGAGACTCGGTATGGCGTCAATTGTGCCGGAATATTTGAGGAAGCCGGAGCTGGTGTACGAGGTGCGGTCCCGGGGGGAGACTCCTGGAACTGATGTACGCACTTTGCGTACACAGTTCAGACAAATTGTTAGCATGCCTCAAGCTTGGGTTGAGTCGCTCAGTTTGGATGAGGAACTGGAGGCATGTAAAGAGAGGATGGAAGAGCTAAGTGGGGAAATTAATAGTTGGAGTAGTTTGCCTATGGGCTCAGCTAAGAGTTCGGCTATCACACAGCTGACGCACTGGCGTAAGCGTCTGCTCTTGGTTTCAGGGCAACCTGAAATCCAAGATGAGGACAAGAGCTGGGTGGAAGCCAGAATTCTTGAGCTGGAAGGAATTTTGGAGAGTATTAAGGCAGGAAAGTCTGTCAAGGAGAAAGTTGAAATTTTTGAAGACAACCGTTCTTCGGAAACTTCAAACGAAGTGCCAAAGTCTGTTGTTGAAGTTGTGGCTCCAGTGGGTACCCCCCAGGCTCCGCCTACGCCAAGTACACTGCTCCAGTTGCCTGCAAATGTTCAAATGTCAAATGCAAATGTCACACCGTCCCCCTCTCACACGTCCACCTTGGCTGCGGCTACGCTGAATGTCCAGTCCCCATCTCCCTTTCCTTCTCAAGTTCATAGTTCCCCTTCCATCTCTAACTCCTTTGGCAAACTTCCCCATCCCCTTGCCTCTGTCCTGAGTGGTTTCCGGCCGGTGGACGGGTTAGATGTGAATGGTCTTTGTTTTTTTCTGGAGAGTGTTTTGCGCATGCGTGAATACCCTGGCATGTCAGACGCAACTTTGATGGAACTCATTGCTCCATACTGTCTGAAACCGTTGGGGGACAGATTGCTTGATTGTTTGCGCAGAGGCGTCACCTTTGATGTTTTTCATAAAGAAGTTTTGGAGCTTTTCATGCCCCGTCGGGTCATGGAGAAGCTGAAAGTTGAGAGAGTTTTTCGTCCTCAGCAGCCAGCCGAGTCTCTCAGCCAGTACGTGGGGGACATTCGCACGGTGGAAAGGGTCTTGCGTTTGGGGATCAGTGAGCTTGAGCTCATTGACATTGTGCTTCAGGGGTTGAAGCCTGAGGAACGCTCCCGTCTGGTTTTTGCACCACGGCCTTCATCTTTTGCGGATCTGGACAGACTTTCCATCCTTTCGAGATCTGTCCAGGACGCTGATTTTCAGAGAGACCAAGCGGCGGGGCATCTTCCCCTAGCTGGTCATCATGCTGTCGTAGCACCCGTGGGGTTGGGTCCTGAACCGCCGCAGTGGCAGAGGCAACCTGTCGTTTGTTTTGGTTGTGGGCAACCAGGTCACATTCGGCGGCATTGCCGTCAAGGTGGAAATTTTGGACGTGGTCCAAAAAACTAGTTTGCTCACAGGAGGAAAATTTGCCCAATCCTTCCTGTGAGGTTGTTGGTGATAATGTAAAGGGCAATAATTTGAAAGTTTTTTCAAGTAAGTCAAAGTCTAAGTTAAAGTCAGTTAATGTTTCTGTTGCCTCCCCTTCTGGGAGTGTTGTGCCTGTGACCGAGCCTCTGCTGCGGGGGATTGCGGGCCTTGCTTCCATGGGCGTGAAAGCGGCGCGCTCAACTTGCCCACGTCTCAACATCTTCATAGGTTCCACGGTGCAGAAGGCCCTAGTGGATTCTGGGTCAGCCCGTTGCCTCATTTCCTTGTCCCTTTTTGAAAAACTTGAATCGTCTGGGCTTATCAAGCAAGTTGAGCGAAAAACCCCTATCTGCTGGACTGCGTCAAATTCACCCCTTCCCATCATCTATGAAGCCCGTTTCAAGTTCAAAATTGAACATTTTTCTTGGGTTTGGAGTTTTTGGGTGGCTAAGGACCTTTGTTTCCCTGTCATTTTGGGAGCGGATTTTATCAAGCACACTGGCCTAATTTTGGATTTAGGCAGAGGTCAGTGTTTTTTCCGATTTGCGAGACGGGTATTAATATCTTTTGCTGATGAAATTGGTGGTGGTGCTGCGGTAGTTGAGCCTGAGATACCCAGCAAGCCAACAATTGATCCGTTAGGGCATCTGACTACTTGCGAGGCTGAAGCCATCAGAACCTTGTGTTCTCGTTTCCCAGATGTGCTGACGCCAAAGCTCGGAGTCACTAACCTGTTAGAGTACGAGATTCGTCTAACAGATACCCGTCCCGTTCGCTCTCACCCATACAAATTAGCTCCACCCAAAATGGAAACTCTCAGAAAAATCATTGACGAACTTCTGGAAAATGGTGTCATTGAACCTTCCCGTTCGAGCTACGCTAGTCCAGCTTTTCTCGTCCCGAAACCCAATGGCAAGTCCCGAATGGTTTTGGACTATCGCAAATTGAATGCGCAAATTGAAATCGACTCTGTGCCTCTCCCCGATTTGCATTCTGCGTTTGATTGGTTCGGTAAGGCCAAGTATTTTTCTGTTTTTGATCTGAATCAGGCCTATCATCAGATTCCTTTGAAACCTGAGTCTCGACCTCTCACTGCTTTCTGCGTTCCGTGGAATTTGTATCAGTTCACAAGAGTTCCGATGGGTCTTGCTGTGGGGGCCCAGACTCTCACCAGACTCCTTGATTCCATCTTTCATGATGTCAAGTTCAAGTTTGTGTTCAATTACCTCGACGATCTCTTGGTGTACAGTGAGAGCTTCGAAGATCACCTGATTCATCTTGAAGAAGTCATGAGTAGATTGAATAGGGCTGGCCTTACCGTGAATCCTGACAAGGTTAGTTTTGCAAAGCCGGAAATTTCGTTCCTTGGTCATCTTATCTCTCATAGAGGCGTCTGCATCGACCCCGCTAGAACCCAGGCTATCAGGGAGTTTCCTCCTCCCAGAGATGTCAAGGGTATTGCTAGGTTCATCGGCATGGTAGGTTTTTACCGACGCTTCATACCCAATGTTGCTGAATTGGCGGCTCCTCTCAATGAGCTTCGGAAGAAGGGCGCCAAGTTTGTCTGGGGTGAAGCGCAGCAGACGTCTTTTGATCTTCTCAAGGAGGCTATCATGCAGCCCCCTGTTTTGGCGATGCCGGATTTCAATCAAAACTTTGTCTTGCAAACAGATGCTTCCTCCGTTGCAATTGCGGCTGTGTTGTCACAAGAGGTGGATGGTGTTAGGCAGCCAATTGCGTACGCCTCACGCACTTTGAGTCCCTGCGAAAAGAAAGCTCTTCGGTGTATGAACTCGAGTGTTTGGCTGTCGTGTTTGGAGTCAATAAATTCAGACGCTTTTTGGAGCACAAAGAGTTTTTATTGGAAACCGACAACCAGGCACTCTCGTGGCTTCTCGCACATCCACGCCAGCTTGGGAAAATTGGTCGTTGGGTTGTCCAAATATCGTCCCTTAAGTTCCAAGTGCAACACGTTCGAGGCACACAGAACGTGATTGCGGACACACTATCTAGGATGTACCATTCACCCGACGATCCTCCTTCTGACCAAGAGCAACCGGGTTGTGCCGTGCTCTTGGAGTTTCCACTCGCCTTTTCTGATTTCATTCCCCATCAGCTGAAGGATCCTGAGCTGGCAAAGATCATTGGTGAGCTTCAAAATGGGGGAGCCCACCCCCCATATTTTCTGTCCCAGGGTGCCCTTTGCTGTCGCGCTCGGCAGCGAGGTAAACCTAAAGTTGTGCTGCCTAGTCTTCTAATCCCTATGGTCTTTGAGTATTTTCATTCTTCTCCTGTGGGTGGGCATCTAGGTATCCACAAGACCATTGCGAAGGTTAGGGAAATGTTCATCTGGAAGGGTATGGATCGGGATCTTGCTGCTAGGGTGCGTTCTTGTCAAACGTGCTCACTGAGCAAGCCCGCTCAAAACTCTAAGTTTGGTTTGTTGTCATCTGAGGTGGCGGAAAGACCTTTGGAGAAGGTTTTCATTGACTATGTAGGGCCTCTCCCGCGTAGCAAGTCAGGAAATAAGTTCCTACTTGTTTGTGTGGATGCCTTCTCCAAGTTTTGTTGGCTTTTCCCCTTAAGGAATGCCACTGCACAGCTCACCGTGCAGGTACTTCGAACTCACCTTTTCCAACATTTTGGAATACCCGCCACCATTGTTTCCGACAACGGAACACAGTTTGTTTCCCATCTGTTCAAAAGAATGTGCTTTGGGCACGGAATCCGCCATGTGACTACTTCCCCTTACTATCCACAGCCTTCTCATGCTGAAAGGTTCAATCGCAATCTTCGTTCCGCTCTCATAGCTTTCCATGCTGACAAGCAGACCACCTGGGATCAGGAACTCCCTTGGCTTCAGTTTGCTTTCAATACTGCTCACCATGAGAGTCACAAGGCGGTCCCTTTCGAGCTGTTTCTAGGCTATCCGCCTAACAACCCGTTAGCGAATGTGTGGGGAATTGGCGACCTTCTGCCACCTCCTGGTGCGGCTGATGTCAAGGCAACTTGGCAAGCGGCCAGGAGAAACTTGATCAGAGCTAGGGAATTGGTCCGGAGGAAGCACAATCGTGGTAGAGTAGACAACCCTTTCCAGGTGGGGGATTTGGTGTTTTGTAAAGCTCATCCAGCCAGTTCGGCTGTGGACAAGAGAGCTGCAAAGTTGTGTCATCGGTGGTCAGGTCCCCACCGCATCCTGAGGTTTTTGACGCCTGTCACGGCGGAGCTTGGAGATCCGCGGACTGGAAAAGTTTTCCGGAGGGCGCACATTTCTCATCTCAAGCCCTTCCGCGGAACTCTTCCGTAGGCAATTTTCTTTCCTCTTGTGTCTGGGTGGGAAGTGCACTGGGCCAGAGAACCTGATCACTTCTCCTGTCCCCTGTGTTCCGCGAAGGAATTTCCCTCACAAAATTTTCCAGCTCTGGCCAGAGCAAACCCTGGGGGTGAGTTTTCCCCTCAGTTTGGAAGTCCCTTGGCGTTCCCCACCACAGACACTTGAGTTGTCTTTCAGGTCATTCTCTTTTCAGGAAGTGGGGGAGAGGCTTGTTTGTTTGTCCCTTTTGGAGAGGAGTGTCCTCTTTTGGGGAGGGAGGTTGAGCCGTGACTATTTCCACCGGGCGAATGTCACGACTCATGATCAATGGTTCAAGTGTTTTTTTTATAGTAGGCTAGTTCAGTGTTTCGTTGTCACTCCACGGCCCCCCGAACAAGGCTGTGGGTTTTGTTCTTATTACTCCGACCGCGAAGTGTCAGAGGTTGCGAGACGTCGGATTTGAGTACTTCACTGAAGATTTTTATCCTTTTAAATCTTCCTTTTTTGGATAATAAATGTGCCTTTTAAGTTTTATTCTTGGCCGTTTGTGAGAACTTTCTTTATGGAGTAACTTTAGTACGCCCCGCGCGCCTTTTGGGGCCCGTGAGGAGGAAAATGACTGACCATCTTCAGCGGAGAGGAATGTTGCGACTAGGCTGGCGCTGCATATTGGCCCCCTCTCCGCCCTGCCTCTTCTCTCCTCCGGTGCTGTCCGCCCAGCTTCATGGCCCTCCGGTGTCACACCCTTGAAGACTGTTACCGCAAGTTACCGACTAATTGTTATTTATCTAATTGTTATATATATTGCTGTTGCCGAATGGACTTTAAGATTTTTAACATTTGTTGACTATTTATAAGCACAGCAGCCTATTGTTATTTATTTCAAATTTTATTCTACTGTTGCCTAATTATCCGATTTTTAAAATCTCTCCACTGTATTTAATTTTTGGGGCCCCTAGTTAATTGCTAACTTTTCAGATATTTATTAAAAGAGTCATCATATTTTATTATTGTTATAGTTTGTTAGTTTTGGTAATTTCCTTTTATTAAATGTTAAATTTTTACTAAATCCTTCTGATTTTCTGAATGATTAAAATAAATTATTGTAAGTCAGCAGCTTAAACGGGTACCTAAATTTATTTAAGGTTTATTGAGAGTATTTAATTCATGTATTGTTGTTGATTATTGTTGTTGTGTTTTCTTTTAAATGGTTAATTACAGCTCGTTTCTCTCAAATGGCGTGTTGTTCTTGAACCTCCATCCATGGTTCTCATTTTGTTAAGTAAAGTTTTGTGAGCCGCTCCTCGGGCCTGCGCATGGATCACGCTTCCATTTCGTTAGTCTGGGTGCAGGCACGAGGGCATGGTTCAATAGGAATACATGAGATCGAGGAGGCAGTGAGCAACCATCCCATGTTGATGCTCCACTGTGGGTACACGTAGTCACCAGCGAGCATATCATCATAGCTGAGCAGTGAGAACACGAAGATGACCTGGTAGGGAAATACACAAAATGTTGATGGTAATAAGAAGGTAAACAGGTTGAAAGACCAGACAAATCCCTAAACTTAAATTTGTTTTTACATCAACCGAGAAAATATACCTAAAATGTTTATACAAAAATTATTTTTTTGGGGATAAGGTAAAAGTGTATTTACGAATACTGAGATGCTCAATGGCGGGGATGCGGAATACTATCCCCCGGAAAACTACCCCCCCAGGTGAAACGTGACGTCACAAAATCTGCCAACCAATATGGAAGCAGTGTCCGCGACTGAAATACTACCTCCCCTAGACAAATCATGCTATGTAATTGTAATTTTAATTCGAGTAATTCTATTGGATAATAGAAAAGTCAAGTGGTGAATATAAAACAGAATTTTGAAATGTTACAGCAAGTTTGGTTGGTTAGGTTAGGTTAGATTAGAAGTGTTTGTCAACTAAATTTGAGTGTCCGTGACTGGAAAACTGCCCCCCGGTCTGTGACGTCAATATGACGTAGGAACCTGCTTGGGGGGGTAGTTTTCCGGGGGGCAGTCTTCCGGCGACCCGCCATGGCCTCTCAGTAGTGCCGGACTCCCGCGGTCTCAATGTCTCCGGGCTACCAACTAAAAAACCCCTCATCTCCTAGGACACTAGCCTGGAACAGTTTAGCACATTAATTCGACTAGGACTAGGCCTTTTAAACTATGCCACTAGGGCTTTCCTTCTTATTTCCTCCGAAAACTAAGGCCAATCAATATTGACCTTCTTATCCCAAAATAATATAAATTGAAAGCCTAAAAGGAAATTTACACTTGAGGAGGAAACTCAGTTCAATATTTGCGACAAATTCTATTTAGTTTCCCCCACATTAAATATGATTTATTAGTAAATATTACTCACCAGGAGGAAGACAGGACTAATGTAGCCCCAGCAGAGTCTCCAGAAGAGTCCTGGACGATGTCCCAGCATGCACTCGATGTCAGAGGAAAACTGCTCCACACCGTACACCCAGCAGACTCCAGCCGCCTCCACGAACACGACGAACAAGATGGCGAGGCCGGGCCCGTACACGTTCAACAGATTGACCAGGTACACTCCACCCTGCGAAAATGTAGAAGTTATTACACTAACAAGGTGTTTACACTACTTTAAGTGTCTAGGGAACCCACTCAAGACCCTACGAGAACAAAGATTTGTTGGTGTAGTCGATGTCCCACTTAACATTGGTCCAGTTAAAGATTAAGTTGATTGGTTATAGATACCGCTGTGGTGGTGTAATTCTAAGTCTGCTTGTGGGGAAATAAGTTTTTAGCAGTACAGAGTATTCAATTAATTGTATTATGACAAATTTTCTTTAAAATTCCACCAAATCAATCTTATCTTACTAATATTATAAATGTGAAAGTTTGTGTGTTTGTTTGTTTGTTTGTGTGTTTGAAGGTCAATCACGCATAAACCACTGGATGGATTGGGCTGAAATTTGGCATGATGATAGCTTACATTCCCGATTAACATATAGGCATATTTTCTTCTCAAAAATCCCTTCAGGCTCTGCCCCAGTTGTAGTTCCCCATGTTAACCTTATGAGTGTTCATATATTTAAAGGGAATTAAAGAATTTAGTCAGCTGTTTCAACTAAAAGAGTTGGTTCTATGATATACAAATGCATTAAAAATCTATAAGATTTACCAACAGGGTGCAGCACTTTATTTTTTTGCATTTATGTAAACAGCTAATTTGAACTAAGCAGCAACAAACAACTGTGATACGTAATGAGAACTGTCAAAGTAGGATTGTTTACAGTTATGTTTATGTTTTTAATGTCATGAATAATTTGTGATTTTTTAAATTTGTAATACTTTATTTTCCTTTATTGTTTAGGTGAAGAGGTAGAATATTAATGGCTATGGCAGATGTGTAATACCATAGTATACCGTCAATTTAAAGAAGCAAATTGTATCAAACTTTGTCCTCCCTCATTGCAAACGCAAAGCTTGAGTATAACTGCAATAAGCAATTTAAACTTATATGCCAAAATGCCAACCCCGTACGAAGGACGAGTACTCTGCTAGTTGTCTATAAATATTCTAGTTTAAAAAATTACAAATGAAAGGAAATAAATTGCTATTCTCAGTTTTAAAAAGCAGTTAAGAATTCAAGGAAAAATAAAACGATAGTAAATAATTCAATTTTTTTTAACAAAACCAACAACCTGCCACATTAAGTATTCACCCAGGAATATCTTTCACAAAATCCCTTAAATTAATTTAACTTTTAATTAAGTAGGTAAATCTTTAAATCACCATCATAAGTAAATTATTTAATAACACGTTAAATCAAGCTGCTTTTCAAAATGAGTAAGAAAAAAGGCAAGACCACTAAAGGGACGAAATGAAAGAGCCAACCGCTTAATTCATCTACAAGAGGAAGTATTACATCCAAGACAATCTCTTAGCTCTGACAAACCAGTAAAGTTTACAACCGTTGAATTGTAGATTCGACCTCTGAGGGAACGAGTCTTCAGTGAACGACTCCGAATGCATGAACATGAGTCTACCTGGTGATAAAGTGGAAGATCCATCTTGTCCAAACGAACCGCACTCATCTGATACCACTGTTGGAAATTAACTGTTCTTTTCTAAAGGATTTCATTCGTGCTTAGTTCTTCTTTCCCGCTGTATTTAGGCGCAGTTTGTATTGAATCGTTCAGAAAACAATTACTCATAGTTTTTGAGTAAAAAGAAATATATATAAAAAGTCCGTGTTTGATAACAATAACTGAATGTAACTGGATTGTGTTTATCATATAGGGATGGACGGGTCTCTAAATTTCTGGGAAATTTTAAATCTCGTTCTACGAGACGAGATTCTATTTTGGTCGAGATTTCTTCAAGACGAGATTTAAAAAAATGAAAATTAAAAAATAAAAATTTTTAAGTTTAAAACCTTAAAATAAAAAAACTAAATAAAAAAAATAGAAAGATAACTTTCTGAAGGAGTTTTTATTTAATTATTATTTCTTTACATGGAAATATTGCTTCAATTGTTTTATAACTTTTTTGACATAGCAAATGATGAGAGGTTTTGTTAGTGTAAACAGTGTGAGACATGTTTTACTACTGTAAACATAGCCAAAATAACACACTCCAAAATCATTCTAAAAATAACACAAAACTTAAAAATTGTTAAACTAGTAATACTGTTGTTGTAGACTTATAATATTGATATTTTTCAAAGTTGAACTATATACTAACTGATATATCCATGTTTCCTATGCCGAAGAGTTATTTTTAATAAGTTAGACCTTATTAATATTTTTTTATACTGATGATTTTATTAAAAACCTTTTAAATATTTTGTCTATTATTATTATTTTTGTATTTAACTAGTCTGTCATAAATCAGTAGGTATTTAAAAATGTTTTTAAAAATCAGTTTAAAATGTGGAACGTGCATTTCCCGTTATGTATGAGAAGGGAAATCCCGTCTCGATCTCGTCTCGAACTAAAAATCCAATCTCGTCCATCCCTATTATCAAATAACACATTTAAAATAGAACAAAACATACAGATTTGTTAAAACGTTTTGCAGAAGGATTTACCAAGTCTTATTTAGTCGTGCGTAAGGTCCAAAGATCATCTCGTATTTGAAAAGGGTTTTTATCATTTCTAGTTGTATTTGTAGGGCCCTAGATTAATTATACTAATTAAAACGAACACTATAAGGCATAAAACAAGATTAAACAGGTACGACAAGAGTCATTAAAATGTTACATAGAAAGTGTTTCAGGAGATCATAGTTTAATGTTCTTCTTTTTTAGTCATCTCATTATACCTAACAACATGAATGAGTAGGAATATATTCATTGTACGTATATGAAATCGTACGTTTCGTAGTTATAGAGTCATTAAACATTCTCAATACGATTAGGTAAAAATAAACCATTGCAAGCTTACATATGTCGTGGTAGGCAGAGCACAAATGTACACTCCGGTCAACAAGACAGCCACGAACACTTCCCTGTTTCGCCCAAGCATCCTGGGGTACTCGTCACACAGGGCGGTGATCATGGCCTCCAGGCCACCAAACGTGCTGTCCAGGCCTGCCAACATGTGTGAGGTAATGAACAACAGGAATGCCAACATTACAAACAAATATTGTCATGAATAAACTCCCTTATCCAAACCAGTAATACAGGGTTGTGATCATACCCTTTAGACCATCAAAAGTGTTGTCTAGGCCTGCAAATATATGTGAAGCAATGAACAATAAGAACGAAAACCTGAAATATCGCCATAAATAAAGTTTTAGAATTATATAATAAGTTACTCCTTACAGCCCTTTTTCGATGTTTCTGCAATTATACTGTAAACATTACCAGCAAGGTATTACTGTATATGAAAAGTGTTAAATATATGATGTTATTGATGTTACATCTCCATTTGGGCCAGATGACTTGTGTAGCTTTCCAGGAACGGTATCGTACATGTTTAAATGTATTTTACCATCCTGCAACTGTTCAAAGAAAATGTATGCTACCTCTACAAATATTAGAAGTATTTTATTATGTTTCTATATATAGCCTAGAGCTAACAAGTATATGTTGCATAAGAGCTCCGAAGGATCTTTGGTAAATCAGCTGATCATAAAAGAAAATCGAAACTCTATGACTCTGTGGGACAGGCACCAGGAGCATGCGTAATGGAGTAATCAGGACAATGCAAGTAAATTAACAACAAATATTTACTTACAATTACTTTAATTATATTTTCTAAATGTATGTTTCATTGTTAGGACTACTTTGGAAATAAATTACCTAATGTGATGAGCATGAGGAAGAAAATTATGGACCAGAAGACGGAGCCGGTCATCGTTGCAATGGCTTCTGGATAGACGATGAACACTAGTCCTGGACCTGAAAAATGTATTGTTATACATCTGTTGATCTTTGTATTCAAACTGGTAATTTGCGTTAAAAAGTATCACAAGTAATATTTAATAACTTGCCCATCACAAAACCTAATTGAATGGAGGAAATATAATATTATGACCAAGTAAAGTCTATTTACTATACTTTTGACTGGATTTTATCTTTGACTATTAATACAACAACATTGTATTTTAAGACTGATTCGTCAGTGATTGATTTAATTCTATGTTTAATTCATATTCTTATTTATTCCTGTCATGAGAAGTGCATTTAGTAAACAGGCAGAAAAAATTCTTCAATGAGATTTGTGATTATATTTCCGTATTTTATTAATCTTTTGCGGTTTTATTTTAGTAAGTCAACACAATAAATCGCGTATCCAAAACTATCAATTAATTAATTATTCTGTTTTACGTTTGTCTTAATCTTAAGAAAGGATTACGATTCAATTCCAAATTTGAATATACAACTTTTTTCTGTAATGCCATAATTTTGTTCTCTACGTAGCTTCAAAATACACAAAAATATTAAGTATTTACTGTAAATCCAATACTCGTATAATAGAACAAACAAGTTAATCACGTAAGATTAATACAACTTTTGAACAAAACTTCTGTTTAGTTTTGGACAGCTTTGATAAAGCGATGCCGAACTATTGCGTCCAGAGTCTAGGCCTGAAATGTCAGTGACAAATTCGCGAAACAAATAGTCCGGGGAAGACGAATCATTGACTTGAGAGTTAATTACGTTACAGAAGTTAGTCAGCAACAAACAGGACTCTGCAAGATCATTTGATTATACAAACAAACTCGAACAATTAGTCATCTAAGAGACGGTTCGTTTTGTCATATTGTAAGTGTTATTAATCCAAGACGAAACAAATAGAAGTCTTTTCCCCATTGAACATGTTTAATTTGATAGTAATTGAAAACCAAAAGTGTCTCTTTAAAATCTTTGATGTGAAACTACTTAATTAGTTGGTAGGCTACAAATAAAGTAAATGGTATATAATTTTAATTACGAATGTATGTTGAGATAATTTTGATAATTTTCATAATACAATTGTACTTGTAGATTAGTTTTTAGATTAGGATTAGTATTAGTTAGGCACGACGTAGATTAGGATTAGTTTTTGCTACCACAACTAATCCTACTTTACATTTCGGAAGTTCTAATCTACTTTTCAGAACATAGTGGCATCCAAAATTTAAACCTCTACATTTTAAGAGAGTGACCTTTTTGATTGGAGTTCATTTTTGTTTATTGCAAGTTCATATTGTTTCTATTACGGACAATTTTCGTCACTGGTTTGTAAAAGTATCGTAACGTTTCGGGTTTTGGAGTCTGGCCACCATCTACACTATTTGGTGTGAGTGAGTTATGAAATATTTAATACAGTTGAACTTTATTAAATCCTGTGTCTAAGGAACAGTAACAAGACTACAAGATCGCGTCACTCATGCTACACTCTTCTCCATTCATACTTGGCATTTTAAATACCTACTTTCGTACGGTCGCCATTTCAAAGAAAAGTATTAAAGAACCTAGATCAAAAATTAATATTAGAATTTGTATGGGGTCGAACATGGGATGCCCATCATAATCAGATAAGTGCAAAAACTTTCGGAAACATAATAGCTAAAGGCAACACAATTTTGAAGAAAAAAAACTTATCAAGCAAAAAAGAGTGGAAGAATAGTTTTCCTGTGTAAACTTGTATTTTGCTTATAAAAAGCAACAACGTTTCCCAAAACCCCCTAAACAAAAATAACTTTTATGATAACTTGCGGAAGATTAACAACACTGAATGAATGGAAGGAAGGTTATATCTACAACAAATTATTGAAACTAAATTAAAACATCTCTAGTCTTGAGATGGTAATCCGAAAAACGGAAAATAAGTTTTATCTTTGAGACTTTCCCACTTGCACATCGCAAAGCAAGGGTCAAAACTGTGAACAACCACAATGCGCTTCATATCACACGGTCGAGAAGATACAAACTTGCAATATTCCCCATTGTTCACCAACTTTTGCAATTGTCTTCAAACAAGAGGCAAAGATACGGTTGGGAAACAATCTCATTGAGACCAATCGAAAATAGGCAAACTTTATAAAGTTTTAAATAGATAATTTGTTTGAGTTGTAAGGTTTGTGTAAAATTGCTCCCTTTCAAAACTAGATAAAATTCACATTTCATATCAGGACTAAAAGGTTAAGTGTAAGAGAGGGCCATGTGGCCCTAACTTTATCTGATTAAATAAATCATTCTCATTTCATTTTCGTTTCATTAAACAACCTGTCTCTCTTCGAAACTCGTCTTCAATGATAACATTTCAGTAAACGGAGTTTTAAACTTTTCATATCATCTTGAAAATCACAAGGAGTCAAAGTACGATATAAAACTGAAAATGATCCGCACTTTGAAATTTACAAAACTAATCTCTCTTGCTTGACATGTCAAAACGATTTTACATTTTTATGCTAAAACCATATAACCATCACAGAGAGTATGCTTTATGCTAAAACTTTGAGAAAAAATAGCAGGACTCAAGGAACCCTAAAGACAACAGACTAACTAAATATAAATGAAAACAGATTTGAACATTGGTTCATCAAAATAAAAAAGAATGTCCTACCAATTTACATTTTTAATAGTTTTATTACTTCACTTTAGTTCGACTACAAGAAACGTACATGAAGTACCCAAATTTGTTATCGAAAACAAAGTATACAATGTTTGTTAAGTTCTTACAGCCATTAACGGGAAAATAATAGATAAAACTAATTATTATGTTTATATAGTTTGTTTGTATATCATTCTAGTTACAAAGGTTACGGTATTGCATGTAAATCAATGTGTAAGTTTGGAATGAATCTATAACAGTCCTCATGTAATATTGACGTTTTCGTCTAAATAAAACCCAAATTATACATTTTCACAGTCAATTTATAAAACTACAAGCTTTGTTATAATACTACTTAAGGCAAAGTCAATCGTGAAAAAAATTTTGGAAAGAATTTGGAAAACCACATTTTCTAGTCTCCCAAAATATTGGTTTTATTGTTTAAAGTTTTTGTCCGGGCAGGAAGATTTAGCACCCCCTTGATAGAACGTTATCAAAATTTGCACTGATTTAAAGCTTTTGTTGTAATCTGTTCTTTTGTTTTTTTACACAGCGTTAATAGCTGTTCTCATTTTCTCAGGAATAGTATAATATATTAACAATTAACACAAATTATTATCTATCCGACGAAAGACTTTTTAAAAATAAATAAATTATGAATTAATTAAAATGTATTTATTAGCCAGCGTCCCTTAGTAAGTTTAGTGTAGATCACTTAAAACATTAAAAAAATAATCGTTCAAACCCAAATTGATTTTGTAATTTATCTATGATTATAATATCAATTTATAATTGATTTTTTTAAATGCCAACCTTTAAAAATTACTACTCAAAGGCTGTGTAATTATTTATCAAACATTATCTATGAGATATAAAACGTTACTTGAAACCCTTTTGATCTACTGTATGTTGTATAACCTTCTTTAGTAAAATACAAATTAATACATTCTACAACAAAAAATTAAGTGAAAAAGTGAGCATATAAAACATTTTTGTAATATTTTCTTTTCGTATACATGTAAGCTAATTATTTATTGTCATTTTTAGATTATTCAAAAATAATTATTCATTATCCACTTACCTTCAAGCCCGACCTGGTCAACACTCTTGTTCTGCACATGTGCCATGTAGCCTAGCACAGAGAAGATGACGAAGCCTGCCAAGAAACTTGTCAAACAGTTGATGCTACTCGTGACTATAGCGTCCCTGGAACACAAAAATATACTGTAAATTATACATATACAAAAACACGAAATAATAGTTGATAATTTCACAACAGCCAAAGATTCATTCCATGTTTTCAGTTAGTTAAAGTGATAACAATTTAAGCATATATAACGGATTAAAGGTGTTAATGCCAATCAATATTTTATGTACATGCAACCGATAACATGTATGTACCTAAATTTTTGTGCAAACTGAAAATAGGTTGTTGAAAAGAACGAAGTTAAAAGCTAAGTTTAAAATAATTGTTCATGAAAAGTATGGTAAAAGGTTAGCATGAACAATTTGATAGTCAATAGTAATTTTTTTTGTAAATATTCGTTTACGTGTTGTAGATTTTCGATATAAAATCATTGTGCTTTTCTCACAAAAGGATTGTGAAATATTCCATCATCTCATGTAGGAATTAAAATTTATTAGTATTATTATTGAGCATAATGAATCATTAAAAGTAGTTATACTGTTATGATCACAAATCAAGCTATTTGTGTGTAAAATAAACTAGTTTTATTTTTAAAATTTGTCCACGTAAGCAGAAGCATTATTTGCCAATGTGGTTATAATATAACTCACCTGTAACAGTTGTTGTTGAATTTATTATAACTTGAAAGCGCCAACAAGGTCCCGAATCCGGGACCCAGAGAGAAGAATATCTGGGAGGCAGCGTCTATCCAGACCTAGGGAAGAAAGGAAGATAACTATGTAAAAGATATTTAATTTGTATTCCACATTAGTAAAACAAAATTCTTTAGCCCTCACCTACCTCCGATCTATGACATCTAGTCTGTAGGTTAACACCCTTTCATTATTTTAAAAATAGTATCACTAAGGCTCTAGGATTTAGAAGGAAGTGTACATTGGACCACAAAACAATTCACTGTGTTATTTGGATTAACGCGGTATCTTATTCTAGACTATTTACTAATAAATCAAAATATAGAAAATAATTTAAATTGACACATGCCTCATCAACACCGTTGTGTTTGTGAGTTTTTTCATACTTTTTGCATTCTCTAGATGAGAATATAACTTGTAACCTGGTGAATTTTCATAATAATAATATTTCCAAATGTATTATATTAAAACCCGGTTTAGATAATTCCTAAAAGCCTTTTGTCAGCTACACAATCATATTTGGAAATTGAAAACTCATTTTTAAATGGATCAAACTGATAAAAGGGGGACTTAAAAATTAAGAAAAGGAGCAATTTTATTTGGCTTTTGTAACTCTACGCCCACTTAACAATTTGAGGTTTCAAGTATATACTTTAAAATATCTTCTTTGAAAACCGTTCCATTGTAGATAAAAAATAATATACAAAATCTTAACCTCATTTGATAAAAATATTTTAAATCACGTTCAACAAACGTTTCATCATTCTCGACCAGAAGGCAAGTTAAAAGCGCTTCGCTTCTTAGCTTTTAGCTGTACATACACTTTTCACGTAGGTCAGTTGTTTATTATTTAATTTATACAAATGTAATTGTTATATTGTTTCTCGGGGTAGACTTTCGTATCTGTTGTCAAAAACAACCGAATGAAAAATTATTCGATATATCAATTATTTCATTCGATATATCGTTTGGTTAGTTGGGTTAACCTAACTGACCAAACGATATATCGAATGAAACAATCGATATATTGAATAATCGATACATCGATCGATATTTTCATTCGGTTGTTTTTGCCAACAGATATGGAAGTCTACCCGTTTCATTTACGGATTGAATAAAAAACTGTGTCAATCCAATTGCAACCATTTGTTATTGTAATCCAATAATTCCCAGTACGATACAACTCGCTACCGTGAGAAACATAATCAAATGACTTAAACTCAAATTAATTTTTGATACAATTACTTGGAATTACCTTTGAGTTTTTGAGCTTGTGCCACTGAGGGGTAAGGTAGTATCTGATTCCTTCGGCCGCCCCTGGCAAAGAGACTCCTCGGACTAGAAGGATGATGAGCACGAAGTACGGAGCGAGTGCGGTGATCCATACAGCCTGCGAGAAACAGAAACCAATCAAATTCCAAGTTTAGACAAATATTTTATTTCAGAAATATTCTGAACAATAGTTTTCGCTTTTGTCCCACCTTTACATTTTAGAACGATAGAGTCTAACAGTTCTACATTAGGCAATGCCTGGTCAGTCCACAGGTTTACAGATTTTCATTAGACAGGTAGATCCGTAAACGTCCACGGTTTCGAAAACACAAGAGGGAGTTATTCCACATATATTGATTGGCCTCCATTTTTTTTTTAGGGGTTGGCGGTCTCTTTTAACCTTGCATTTGCCCGCCCACATTGACTAAAAATCTGTGCGTGTAACGTATCTAGTAGAGCAAGGGGTGAGCCGGTACAGTACAAAGGTGAACTGTACTGATAAAATGTTTGTGGCAGTGACCAGGATCCGAACCATGTGATCGTTGATCCGAACCGACGACATCGCTGCCTTGGGCCCGAAATCCCTGACGCTACCAACTGAGCCACCGACTCACCAATCATCATCAGAAAAAGGAAAACCACAAATATCGTGTAATTTAACTTTGAATAAATAATAGAATGTAATTATTTAAACAAATGTAAAGATGTTTGATTCAATTCAATGTAGAATTAACTAAACAGAAACTCGTGAAACTAACAGGTTCGATTGACGTTTGTTTCCACCCTTATTTAAAGAAGATAAGGGATTTTGTTATGATTTAAAGAAGAAGAAGATGATGATGATGAAGAAGAAGAAGAAAGAAAAAAGTTGTTTTCTTCTTCATCATCACCCGGAAATGAACGGTTTAATCTTAAGTTTATTTTTACTTTAATTTTAGTAGTGACTGTTACTGACCAAATGCATTCACTATAAAAATATGTTTGTAAAGAAATTGGTTAATACGAGAGCTTTCACTTTTTATAATATAAATAACAGATAATTTGTTTTCTGTTTGGTCAATGAGACTGATCATAATTGCTCAAACAAACGTACACAAATGCTAGATTGAAATAGTTATTTATGTAACTAGTGGGCAAAGTGCAGCAAAGGCCTTTTGCACTCGTGTTATATATTATATTTTCCCTACAGTCACTATAAAGCATATAAATAATTAGTCTTTCAAACACTATACAACACGTTTTTGGGTTCAGCTGGCAAAACAAATGGTGCCCTAGAGAAAGTAGTACCCGCGGTCCGTATCACTCCGCTACTTTTCCTCGGCAAGAAATGTGCTCCGCGTTTTGAGAATATAGTTCCGTATGTTTTTGTAATTTGAAGTGGTTTCCGCGCCAAAAAAAAATGCTTTAAAGGTATTTTCTTGTTTATTAAGATCGTAGGAATGTTTTAAAAACGTTTAAAAGAAAAGTCCAGAAAGTTCAGAAATACCGAAACTATAAACACGAAATAACAGGTTAAATCGTAGTTGTAATAGACAATCAGCTGCTCATAGTATTATTATCTTGCCATATTAAGTGTTGCCAACATATTTCCAAGCGTACACGGATTACGTGCATAATAGAACCACGCTGTTTTGTGTTGTTTCGTTGGAATCCTGATGTGCGGCAAAGTATAAACCGTACGACAAAGTACAAACCGTACGGCAAAGTATAAATATACAGCAATTAGCAGCTTTCTGTACTATAAACAGTACAAGGAAGCCAACTTTGTCGGGTGACTGTAGGAAAAATTATTTGACTCAACAAATAAAATAGTTCATGAACCATAAGGAAAAGCATGAGTTATTTGTGTGAGTGATTGGAGTTTGTGCTCGAATCATTATGCGAGGCGATTTCTGCAAGTGAAATCAAAGTCGCAAAGTGGAAAAGTTAAAGAGGTCTTCTAAGAGTCAATTGGATGATAATACCACCAAGAGTCACTCTATCCCAACTTAACACTTGAAAAGGAAAACAACGGAGAAGCTTCAAGGACCACTCTCGGTCTAGAATTTCAAAGGATTCCGATTCCAAAGCACTTTCATTGGGAAAGTATCTACTGAAAAACACGCGGATTGAAAATAATGGCAGTAAAAATTCATCTCAAATTGCAAAACTTTCATCAAGAGGTCAAGAAGTGTATGGTGAAATTTGTATTTTTTATAGTAACCACCAAAAAAATACTGATGAAAACACCAGTTTATTAGGTAAAATAATCATTATACACCAAAAGCGTTTTCGAGGAGTGAAAAAAAACAACTCGTGAAAAACGCTTTTGAACAAAATACTTCGGAAAACCAATTTGTACACTATAACCCCATCCTTATAGTTTAAACATGCTTGTTCGCAAACTCGTCCGAATAAACGTAGCTTTAAACCTTTGGGTACCTAAAAAAAAGTAAATCGATATCAAGTCAAGGTCTAATCGTGATACCTACAGTATATGGGAAATTCGTTAAAACCCTAGCAAACTGGATACAGACGAATATTAATTTTTAATACATTCCTCTACACAAATCAACACATCAATTAACATGTAGGAAGTGATAGATAATAGGTCCATATGAAGCGTCCATTCTGCTACATCAAACTGGGCGGTTGTGGTGGACCCATAATTAACTAGGGGTTTGTTTGTGTCTAGTTTAGTCACCAAAATGCGGGGAAGCACCATTGTGGCCTTTTAGTTGAGCTTTGATTTGTAATTGTATAGAGTTGACGTTTTTTTATTTGTTCCTAATTTAGCACGTTTGGAAATACAGAGTTTTGACACAAGCACAAAGAGTTGTTTTTTAGTTTAATTTTTAAATAAAGTATTTTTAAGTTCAAATGTATTAAATTCTTTATAAAGCTACGTAGTAGGGATTAAAAATGTACGTTCCAACATAGTTTGGTTCGAAATCTCCAATACAAACATAATTTCGCACAGGTCAAATAATAACTGTAATTTGAAATAGGTGGTTTTACTGTATTAATAAGCCCATCTCTTCCCAGCAACTAACGTTAATTTTAGAAAATTTAGTTGAACGGTCAACATGTAATTGACATTATGTCTAATTTATTAAACCTATTAAAAGCACTTTGCATTGTATCGACTTAATATTTGCAGTAACTTGTGTATATACAGTACTACCAAAGAGATAAGGGACTTTATTACTTATCTGTGATACAACGATATGTTTTCCAATCTTATTTATTTTTTAAACACAATTTTCAAATGTTTCTGCCTTAGTTTTGCTCGTTTCTAACCATTCACCACCTATTTGTATATCCAACTCAAAGTTTAGATCCACAGTTAGTGCTGGTGTAAGATAGCAAATTAAATACACGATTTCTAAACCAGGACACTCATTTGACAACCGTTTGTAAGTAAAATGCACACACACACACACACACACACACACACACACACACACACACTACGACACAGTAAAATACGCAGTTTTGACACACAATTAACAATGTTAACAATGTCACATAATTAACTCAATTCTGGAGTTTTCATGTAAACGTTTTTGTTACGAACAATCTAAATAAAATATAACTATTGACTCATAATAGTAGAATACTTTGGTGAAAATGGGGGGAAAGAATGAAAAGCCAGGCTAATAACTGGTCTTAGCAAGTCTAGCGACTGAAGTACAAACAGACAAAGTTCTCTGTTGATAAAGTGATTCGTTTACACAGATGACGATTGCTCTGTTGTATACGGAGGTCATTGAAAACGTCTTCGTTTTCATTTCTTTGATAATGCCTTCAGGATGAATGGGTTTTTTGGCTGTATTAGAGATTCTGTTAGTAAATAAGTGTTTTGGTTTGTTAACTTTTTTTGGCTGGTAGCAGGTTGTGTAGTCTTACGTCGAACTAAATACTTTGATAGGATTATGAGTATTTTCGAGTTGCAACAACAAAAATTTTGCCTATGCAACCCAACCTGCACTGAGCTAGGCTAACCTAGCTTAACTTAGCCAAATTTTGGTTGGACAATTTGCAATAGGAGCGACCCTCTTTTGTGTTTAAATGTGTTGCAATTTTTTATTGGGCGTTTTCTAAGGGCAGCATCACTATTACATGTTGCCCCGTTCAAACGAAGTTAATGTAAACTTACCTAAAATTACCAATACGTAAGGCAACCTATTAACCTAATACCTAACGTGCATCGGGGAAATTTTTATAGTTGCATCCCTCTTCTTGAAAATAACCTATTAATATCTCATTGGGACGACAAATTCTATGTAAATATTTTATTTCTCTTCTTCAATCTGATCGCTATGATCATAATGGGTGTCAATACTATACTACTTGTAGCACCTATAAATTACTACATCCACAAAGTTTAGGTTTTAGGGGTAGTAATCTATCCCCTCTACCCCCCCCCCCCCCTACGTTTAAAAAACCTCAACAGCTGAGGTCTGTCATAAACATCAATCAGCTATAACATATTAAGCGAAAAAAGTTGTAGGGCAACATCCCTTCAAACCGCCTAGATTTTTTGAACAGACTATAGTACAGAGAAGTATCCTTATCAGTGTATCAGGACGTTTGTTTATCACTCGTGGTCGATTGCGTCGCGTACAACCCTATATTTATTGTTCCGCAAAGAATGTATAGTCAGCGTTATTCACTATCAGCTGACCAGCATGGATAAAATACGAAAAAAATATTTGTTGACAATTTGTAGTGTACATCCTTTGGATCGGTTAATGCAATTGAATATTCTTGTATGAAAAGACCTTAGATAATACTAATTTCGGATATGATGTTTGTTCAAATTGTGTCTAAGCTATGTTTTACAAGTGTTAAACTATCCAATGTTTTTCAGTAGTGCTAAAAATCACCCCTATTAAATGAGATTAGGTTTTCCTGCACTTCTACGATTGACTTCGTAAATAAAATCGTTTCCTATGATAACTAAAAATCTCAAAATATCACAATTCTATTCATATGCTCAATTAGGGCATATGATTCCCTGTTACATTATTTTTCTAGTTGTCCTATTTCAAAGATTTTTACGATTGGTCATTTTAAAGCTTATGATCTAGCACCCTTGCGAAAAGTAATTAAAAAAGTTCCTTTAGAGCTACGCCC